GAAAGTACCATATTTCCTCGAAAATAAGACCCTGTCTTATATTTTTTTTGAACCCAAAATAAGTGCTTGGCCTTATTTTCGGGGAGGTCTTATTATTTTGGGATGCATGGAGTGAGATGGGGCTCCTCTTGCCATCTTACTTGATTTCCAGCTCCTGTCTCCTAGCCCTAACCAGAGGAAATGGCGGGGACCAGCTGCACATGTGTTTAAATATTTTCGGGAAAGGCTTATTTTCAGGGAGGGCTTATTTTGGGGGAGGGGGTTATTTTAGCACATGCACTCAAAAGCCCGATTGGGCTTATTATCAGGGGGTGTCTTATTTTCGGAGAAACAGGGTAGGTGCAGTAAGAATTGTAGCCTCCTGACAGGAATTTGATGCTCCCTTGTCAGATTTTTTTTTTTTTAATTCTTTGTACGGCATGGACTGTAAGCTCTTTAACAACAGGTGCCCATCTAAAAAAAAACAGGTGAGATGGAAGGGCCCTCGGAGAGGTAAATCTTTTCTTCTTTTCTCGTCTTTCTTTCTTTCTTTTTTTTTAAATCAAGGAGCAAAATAGGGACTGAATTACTTGTCTGAATGTCTAGCAAGAGGCCACAAAGGCAGCTGCCTTTGTCTTCTTGCTGACAGACACATTTTAGCAGGGCAAAGAGGGGGAAAAAATCCTGACAAATAGCAACAAGAAAAAAAAAATACACCTGGGAGACACTAACAAAAACCAGGAACCTTTTTAATACAGTGATGAATGGAGCTTTCAGTAGCTTATGTAGAAATAAAGCTTGATTTTCCTGGTGTCAGTTTCCGATTGGAAGCCCTCCGTGTTATCCTGGGCTTGTTCACCGTCAGGCTTCAGGAAGAGTCGGAGGTGCTGAATGGAAGGTTGTTTTTCCATGCCAAAGTTATATAGTTTAGCTTGGGACCCAAAGGCAATATATTCTCTTTTCATTAGATGCTCCCTCGGCCACTTATTCAGAAGGGGTCTATTCATCACGTTTTTCTTTGAACGTAAGTCTCCGCACATCAGCACCGTCTCTCCCGATTATTCGCTTTATATATTCAAAGCGCTGATTGTTTAACCATGTGCTTTTAGAGAAACATTTTTTTTCCATGCGTGGGTCTTTCAAAGAATCCTCCGAGGGTCTGTCACATAATCCAGAGCTTGTGTGTGCTGGGTTTCACACAGCCTGTTAAACAAAAACCATTCTCACGGACGAAGGCGCGTATACGTTTCCTAGGATAATGTTGCAAGATCCAATCTGGGTCGGTCCACAGGACCAGAGGTTTAATCTTCTGACGTTTCAGACTTGTGCTGGAGCCCATCTTCAACTCTCTACCGAAATATGGGCTATTCCAGTGATGGTGAATCTTTTTGGCACAGAGTGCCGAAAAGGGAGTGCGTGAATGCACACGCTTTCAGTGCACGCTTTGCACTCGTCTGGGTCGCAGCCCGGAAGAGGAGCTGCCCTGGGTGCATGTGAGCACCCAAAAATGAACTTTCAGTTTCCGCCGTGCACATGTGCGCCGTCCAGCTAGTCTTCCAGTTTTCTGGTGTGCAGGCACACTTGACGATCAGCTGGCCGGCGCGCATGATCACACAGGAAAATGGAAGACGAGCTCTTCCAGTTTCCAGCACTGTTGCATGCATGAAGGCCAGCTGATCGTCGTGCGCACATGAGCGCCAGAAACCCGGAAGAGGAATGGGCGATGCCATACATGCCAGGCAACATGGCTCCGCATGCCATTTCAGGCACGCGTGCCATAGGTTTGCCATCACAGGGCTATTCTATGACCTGTATTTATGTGGTGCCTTCCTATTGGTTGATTGGTGTGTTGATGGCTGGCTATTATTGGCTGTTGTTTTCTTGTGCTGCCAATCCATCGGCTCCTAAGTACCTGATAAGCTTGGGGTAAATCAGCACTCCTGTGGACACATAAATACAATTTATAGAATAGTCCAAAGCATATATTCCGGTAGAGAGAAGTACCCTGAGGATGGGCTCCAGCATGAGTCCAAAAGCTCGGAGCAGTAACTGACCCAGATTCAATCTTGCAAGCCTAAGTAGACCACCATGGTGGTAGAATGATCCTTGTGAAAATGTCAGTGTCTATGATCCTAATGAAAAAAGGACCAGGGATGACATCAGAGCAGTGTTCCAGTAGTTATTGTGACCTAGGCCCAAGTAGTTCTTACCAAACACAATCAGTCCTAAACAAACATATTTTATTAGAACAGCTGAGAATTACTTCATTCTCAGCTTAATCCAAATTAAATCCAAAACTAATTCTTCATAAACAGTCCTTCGGCCTTATCACCAACCTTTGTCTTCTTTGGCACCCTGCCAAAGGCTTTTCTTGGCAAAAGTTCAGAAGCAAGAGACCCTGACAAGAAACAAATGTAGTAATGTTGCTTTCTTACAAAGAGCCCAAGAGCAATTGCTGCTCTTTTAAGCCTTCTGGAAGGGGCCAATCATCTCCTGGCCTTACTCCCGAGTCATCCTTTTCGCTTTAGCTGCTTCTTGCCTTCTGGCAGCTCTTCACATGCGTGCACTAGGAACAGGCTCAACCTGTTCCTCTGCCTCTCTGCTGTCGCCTCTGGAGGCTCTGGAGTCCATGCATCGCTCCCAGATGACCCTGGCCCAATCTCTGCCTCCGACGCAAAACCCTTGTCCGGGCCTTCCCCTGACTCCAGGACTGGCCCATGGTCCTCCCAGCCTCCTCACTGTCTGACTCCGCTGCCAGCTCCGCAGGCTGCTGGCAGACCACAACACTAGTTGAGGAGCTGCCACAAAGAAGAGGGAGTCAAGCTATCCTCCAGAGCACCTGAAGGCAGGACAAGAAATTCATAAACACAGCTGTTGCGCGAGCTCCACTGGTTGCCAGTCTGCTTCCAGGCCCAGTCCAAGGAGTTGGTTACGACCATTAAAGCCTTTTATGGCATGGGTCCAGGCCAGTGGTGGGTTTCAAAATTTTTTGCTATCGGTTCTGTGGGCGTGGCTTGGTGGGCATGGCATGGCTTGGTGGGTGTGGCAGGGGAAGGATACTATAAAATCTCCATTCCCACCCCAATCCAGGGGAAAGTTACTGCAAAATCCCCATTTCCTCCCGATCAGCTGGGACTTGGGAGGCAGAGAATAGATGGGGGCGGGGCGGGGTGGGGTGGGGCGGGCCAGTCAGAGTTTTCACTACCGGTTCTCTGGACTACTCAAAATTTCGGCTACCGGTTCTCCGGAACTGGTCAGAACCTGCTGAAACCCACCTCTGATCCAGTCCCTTGACAAATTTAATAAATAAAAAATTACCATTACTGTTGGCTTAAATGATGTGTTACAGCTCTATTTTCTAAAATGCAATGAAAATGGAGTTTCAATCCATACAGGTAGTCCTTGACTACCGTAACTATCACAATTCATCCCTAAAGTCCTGTTGCTAAGCAAGGCAATTCTTAAGTGAGTTTTGCCTGGTTTTATGATCTTTTTTGGCCATGGTTCTGAAGCGAATCACTGCATAAAAAGAATCATATGGTCATTAAGTAAATCTTGCTCCCCCCCCTTGCTTCTGTTGGTTGGAAGCTGTCTGAAAAGGTTATAAATGGTGATCATGCGCAACTGTCATAAATACATACAAGTTGCCAAGTGCCCAGATTTTGATCACATGACCATGGAGATGCTGCAACGGTTGTAAGTGTGAAAAACGGTCATGTCACTTTTTTCAGTGCTGTTGTAACTCCAAACAGTCACTCATCAAATGTTGTAAGTCAAGGACAATCTATATTTGTCTCTGTGGAAGCCTATCAATGCCAACATTTCTCTGTCTCAGATTTTCCTCAGTTTGGTGTCCTCCACAATTTTTGCATTACAACTTCCAAGATTCTTGTACTGTACAACTTCAGAAAGTCATGCTAGCTTTTATTATATCGGTTTCTGAAGAGGGTTTCCTATTTCTTCCTGGAAACAAGTTGGTGGTCATGCAAAGAAGTAAAACATTATTAGGTGAAAATGCAGACATGGTTAGAGGGAATGTTGCAGCAACGTATAGAGTTAAAACCAGAGATATTTTAATTGGGAATTTTACCGGAGAATTTTAGTAAAGAAAATACACAGTTGATTATTCATATAATAACAGCAGCTAGAATTGTATTTGCACAAAATTGGAAAGCAGACAAAATCCCGTTGGAAGGAGAAATTATAAAGAAAATTCTAGAATGTGCAGAAATGAACAGATTAACACTGCGAATAAAAGATAAAGAGGAGTCGATGTATTTCAAGACATGGGATAAATTTTATGATTGGTTAGAAAGGAAATATGAATAAGGGAAAATGAAATAAGGGTATGAAGCAGGAGTGAAATCCAAAATGTTTCCCTACAGGTTCTGTGGGTGTGGCTTGGTGGGCGTGGCAGGGGAAGGATATTGCAAAATCCCCATTCCCTCCCCACTCCTGGGAGAAGGATACTGCAAAATCCCCATTCCCACCCCATTCTGGGGCCAGCCAGAGGTGGTATTTGCCAGTTCTCTGAACTACTCAAAATTTCCGCTACCTGTTCTCCAGAACCTGTTAGAACCTGCTGGATTTCACCCCTGGTATGGAGATAAAATAGATGGGAAAAGATGGCGGGGTGGGGAAATTGGAAGACTAGAAACCCAGATGATGCCTTGATAAAGGAAGAATGGGGGGGGGGTTAAAAGGAAAAAAGTGAGATTATTATAAATGTTGTAAGTCAAGGACTATCTATATTTGTCTCTGTGGAAGCCTATCAATGCCAACATTTCTCTGTCTCAGATTTTCCCAGTTTGGTGTCCTCCACAATTTTTGCATTACAACTTCCAAGATTCTTGTCCTGTACAACTTCAGAAAGCCATGCTAACTCATGCTGGTTTTTATTACCTCAGTTTGTGAAGAGAATTTCCTATTTCTTCCTGCAAGCCAAGTTGTCGGTGTTTTTCCCATTAGTTCTTCTGCCAATGGTTATTATTCTTGATTATTATTCCTTTTTCACTCTGCAGGTACGGAATGAACTGTCTCATTCAGTTTGAAGACTTTGCCAATGCCAACGCGTTCCGACTGCTCAACAAATATCGCAACCGTTACTGCACTTTCAACGATGACATTCAAGGTAAGGCGTCCAAGAGTTCATTGATAAAATGGAAGGTGGCAATCTTGCATGGAGTTTTCCATTAGGTTCCTTTGCAACTGACTCCTTATCAATATGTACCTCCGAAGGTCTCCTGCGCGTCACTAGGAAGAAATTTTCAAAAGGTAAGTAGAGGTACCACGTTTTTGGGGGTTGAGTTACATATTCTGCTCTTCATCCCAGGTTTACATAAAGTTTCGTAGAGATATCTGGAGATGTTCCTTACAACCAGAGGCAGCCACTTATAAAAAGTAAAATAGGAAAAATGTGTTTCCTCACAGTTGGAAGTTGGATTTAACCTTCATAAATACTTGCATTTGAATCTTTCTCCTTCATTTTCCCAAGGGTGGGCTGCTGTGGGTTCGCAGGGGTTTGGGAGAACCTCTAGCTAAGACTCTGTGCAGTTTGGAGAACCCCCAAAGCCCACTCCTGGCTGGCCCCGCCCACCTCTCCCCTCCTGTCCCATGAGTCCCCATGCGGCCCATTTTGGATGCATGGTGTGTGCGGAGGCTTGAGGAGGGTGAAAAACGGGCCTACCGGAAGTTCAGGAAGGACGGAAAAGGGCTCCAGAGGGCCTCCGGGGCCTGGGGAGGCCATTTTTGCCCTCCTGTAGGCTCAAGAAAAGCCTCCGGAGCCTGGGGTGGGCAAAAATGTGCCCCCCCTGCCGTGGTGCAGGAGGCTGACTAGGCCACACCCACCATGGCCATGCCCACCCAGCAACCAGGGAGAGAACCCCTTGCTAAAATTTTTGAAGCCCACCCCTTCATTTTCCCTGTAGAAAAGTTCTTTCTTATTTCACTGATATAAATTTTCCTTCATCACCACCCCTCTTTCTCTGTTCTCTCATGAAACTGGGAAGAACAACAGAGTTCATGACATTTTTATTGAGACTGAGAGATTTCAATAGGGGAGAATATTTATAGCTTAGAGTTGAAAGGAGGGGTCCTTGGTGCTCCCTTAGCTTGTCTGTTTTCTTGCAGACGTTTCGTTACCAAACTAGGTAATGTCATCAGTGCTAGTAATGAGTGGAGTTTGTTTGCTCTCATTTTATATTTTAGTGGCTTGCCCTGTCAACACTGCTGTTTGCTAGGTTGCTGTTTATTCAGCAGTTCCTTGATTGGGCTATTGTTTGCCTTTTGATTGTTAATCTAATGTTGCCAGGCTTCCAGGAACCCTCTAGAATTTTTGGACTTGGCTTGATCCAAGCTTGGCACTCTGACAAATCGGCCATCAACAGACACATAGACATGCACAACATCTACATACCATTTAAAAGATACAATCAACAAGCCAAAAGAGGAACAAAAAGACCAGAACACCTCCTTACCAGCAATCAACCTTTAAATGAGTAGAAATGGACACCAAAATTAAATATAGACCAATAATCAAGAAGTAAATAATTTCCCTATCAAGGAACTGCCAAACAGACAGGGGAATTCTGGGAGTTGAAGTCCACAAGTTTTAAAAGTTGCCAAGACTGGCCATCCCTGTGTCTAATTCATGGGCGTCCAACCTTTTGGCTTGCCTGGGCTGCATGGTGTGCAGAGGAATTGTCTTATATGGCTGCATATAAAATATACAATATAGTTAATGTACATAAATCACATCATAATGTTAAAAGTTTTCAGTCTTGTGTGGCCACATTACTAGCCAGGGGTCATGGATTGGATACGTCCATTTTAATGAAATAAATTAAATAAACATAAATATTTGGCAATGAATTTAAAGCCACCAACTGAATAAATGAATTCTTAAGTTATCGTTCATAAAAGCTTGAATTTTATTATTTTTTTGAGTTGGCAAATTACACTGAGCAGGAAAAGATTGATTTCTATTTGTTTTGCAGAATGACCTTTTGGTATTAAATGAACATTAAATAGCCAATTACTTACTTAAAAACATCTGTGGGCTTCTCCTTTGAGATTAGCAGAGCCTAATTTTCATAATAAATCTTTGTTCTTCACATCTGCCATATCTGGGATTACATAACTGGAAAGCAAGGGAACAATTAATAGAGCTGGAGCATATGAGAAACATTCTTTAAGAAAAAAATTATCATATCAGGTATTTATTATTGCAACACCTTCTTGCAACATTTTGGTGATTTTAGTCATTAGAATAGAGAATTATAGGTAGGCCCACCTTAACTCTTGGGAAGACTATAGAGATTTCTTAAAACCACATAACAAGAAAGGTTGAATCATACCATCTTTTAACATTCTTTCCTTCCCTTCAACTCTTTATAAGAATGTTTTGTTTAAAAAACGTTAAGTGTTTCTTTCGAAAAGTTGCGTGCCATGTACTACTGCATGGTTCATTCTTCTGATGCTGATAAAAAATTAATTCCTAGCTCCCTCAAGAGGACAGAAGAGTGCACTGAACTTTGTTAAATGTGAATATTTTTTTTAGAATAGAATTCTTTATTGGCCAAGTGTGATTGGACACATGAGGAATTTGTTTTTGGTGCATATGTTCTCAGGATACAGAAAAAGAAAAAGACATTCATCAAGAATCATAAGATACAACGCTTAGTCATAGTCATAGGTTACTAATAAGCAATCAAATCGTACTAGGAAACAAATAAAACAATATAATCGTAAAGATACAAGAAACAAGGTTATAAGTAAAAGGAGATAGGTAATAGGAAGGATGAGAAGAATAATAGTAATACAGTCATAGTAAATAATTTGACAGTATTGTTGTTTAGCAGAGTGATGGCATGCGGGAAAAAACTGTCCTTGTGTCTAGTTGCCAACAGTTCACTATGGGACTGGTTTCACCAAAAACTAGAAGTACCCGCCAGTTTTCAGCAAAACTGTTGTAAAATGTGGTCACATGACCACAGGATGTTAGAAGCAGACCTGAATGCAATAACTTTGAATCCGGATCGAAAGCACGCCCCTAGATGAGTCTGTCTTAAATTCAAATGGTTGCTAAGCAATCGGGTCGTAAGTCGAGGACTACCTGTAGCGAAGGAATCCAACTGAAATATGAGAGGAAAACTATGCTCGGTTATGCTTCATGGACGATCCTTTTCATTATCTCTTCCTCCAGCTTCGCCACTTTTATTTTTTATTTTTTGCTACCCGCCCTTGATACATTCTGAAAGTGACCAAGTGTGGTCCTTAACCCAAAACAAGGTTACCCAATCGTAATTTTGTATAGAGTGAAGTGGAGATGGGGTATGCAACGATTCTAGGAGACTGATGTCACTGGAATGTTTTTTTCCTCCATGATTTTGTCTTAAGATGGTCTCTGTAGAAATTAATCCTCGGTCGCGTTAAACAGAACATCAAGTCAAGATGATGTGAAGTGTTAGTACCAGTGGTGGGATTCAAAATTTTTTACTACTGGTTCTGTGGGTGTGGCTTGGTGGGTGTGGCAGGGGAAGGATATATAAAATCTCCATTCCCTCCCCACTCCAGGGGAAGGTTACTGCAAAATCCCCATTTCCTCCTGATCAACTGGGACTCCGGAGGCAGAGAATAAATGAGGGCGGGGCCTATTAATGGCCTTTGGCTTAGACAATTAAATAAGCCAATCAGAGAGCAGCTCCTGGCTTTGAATCTCCCGGGCTTTTCTATGCCCTCCCCTAACTGCCTCTGTGACAGTATAAAAGGAGATGCTTGCCAGCAGACATTTTGGGCTCTTCGGGATCAGAGGCAGAGCTGAAGTCACTAAAGCCTCTTCCTTCTGAGGAAGAAAAGCCCGAACTCCAATCGCATAGAGCAATTGCACCCGAGAGCTGACAGGACACTTAAGAAAGAGAATGACATCTAATATTCTTTTTGAATAGGCCTTGTTTTATTTTATGTAAATAAAAACAGTTTAGTGTAAACTGCTCGTTTGGCTCATTTGTTCTAATAGATTGTAAAAGAGATAAGGTTACGGTCCATCGAGGCCCACTCCATAACAGGGGCCAGTCAGAGGTGGTATTTCCCGGTTCTCCGAACTACTCAAAATTTCTGCTACTGGTTCTGCAGAACTGCTCAGAACCTGCTGAAACCCACCTCTGGTTAGTACTGCTTTATAAAACCTTAGTAAGACCACACATGGAATACTGCACCCAGTTTTGGTCACTACATCACAAAACAAGATGTTGAGACTTTGGAAAAAGTGCAGAGGAAAGGAACTAAGATGATTAAGGGCCTGGGGACTAAAACATATGAAGAACAGTTGCAGGAATTGGGTACGTTTAGTCTAGAGAATCCCTCATGCCGCATAACGGGGTAAGCTCCCGTTACTTGTCCCAGCTTCTGCCAACCTAGCAATTCGAAAGCACGTAAAAAATGCAAATAGAAAAACAGGGACCACCTTTGGTGGGAAAGGAACAGCGTTCCGTGTGCCTTCGGTGTTGAGTCATGCCAGCCACATGACCACGGAGACGTCTTCGGACAGCGCTGGCTCTTTGGCTTTGAAATGGAGATGAGCACCGCCCCCTACAGTCGGGAACGACTAGCACATATGTGCAAGGGAAAGCTTTACATTTACCTTTAGTCTAGAGTAGGGATCAGCAACCCACAGCTCTGGAGCCGCATGTGGCTCTTTCATCCCTCTGCTGTGGCTCCCTGTCGCTGGTCGGCACGACAATTTGGAGAGGAGCTTCCAGTTAAGGGGGGGAAAGCATGGCATCCCAGGAGGAGACTCTATGGTAAGGGGCAGGTTTTCTGGTTGGCTCCACAATTGATAGGGCTTTTGGTTAGGACAAGTAGAGGAAAAAGGACACAGGGCTAGGAGGAGACTCTATGGTGGAGGAACCGGACTTTCGGTCTGCTCCAGAATTGAATGGTTAGGCTTCTGGTTAGGACCTTTGTGGCTCTTTGAGAGTTTAAGGTTGCCGATCCCTGGTCTACAGAAAAGAAGAACTAGGGATGACATGGTAGCAGTGTTTCAATATTTGAGAGACTATCACAAAGAAGAGGGGTTCAACTTATTTTCCAAAGCACCAGAAGACAAGACAAGAAACAATGGAAACTAATCAAGCAGAAAAGCAACCTGGAATTAAGGAGAAACTTCCTAGCAATGAGAACAATTAACAGTGGAAGAGCTTGCCTTCAGACATTGTGGGTGCTTCATCACTGGAGTTTGTAAAGAAAAGACTGGACAGCTACTTGCCTGAAATGATACAGGATCTCCTGATTGAGCAGGGGGTTAGACTAGAAGACCTCCAAGGTCCCTTCCAACTATATTCTGTAACTGAAATTTCTTCAGTACACTGAACATATTTCTCTGTTCTTGTAGTCAAGGGGAAAAAAACTTGGACCCTCTTCACTTCACAGGCCACCAGATATTCATTAAACGGTGTTTGTGTGTGGGTGGTATGTGGGTATATTTGTGTGTGGTTATAAATTGCAAAATTGGGCTCATTCTGGAGCCTGCAATCAATTCTCTTTAAATACTGTGTCACCCTTCAGCCTTTGATGTAAGATAATGCAACGCAACAGCCTCTCTCCTCTGCGGAACACTTCATTATATTTTCTCGTCTGTAGCTGAGGAGGCACAAAGCCCAGCTTTTAACACCTAGCTGGAAAATGCCGTTTAAAATATGAATTGGAAAACTTTTCCTTTTCATCAGAATGCAGAACAGAGTAGATTTATTTTACAAGATTGCAGGGCAAAAAAATCGAAAACACCGTTGGCCTTAGGCAACCCCCAAAACAGGTCAATAAACTGGTTTTGTGGGACTGCAATTTTTTTTTTTTTGAAATTGTACATTGTAAAATGGGTCACGAGCATCAATGTCATAGTTACAGGCGACAGACCATACCAGGGGTGTCAAACCAGGGGTGAAATCCAGCAGGTTCTGACAGGTTCTGGAGAACCGGTAGTGGAAATTTTGAGTAGTTCGGAGAACCAGCAAATACCACCTCTGGCTGGCCTCAGAGTGGGGAGAGAATGGAGATTTTGCAATATCCTTTCCCTGGAGTGGGGAGGGAATGGGGATTTTGCAGTATCCTTTCCCTGGAGTGGGGTGGGAATGGAGATTTTGCAATATCCTTCCCTTGCCACGCCCACCAAACCACGCCCACCAAGCCCCACCATGCCCATTAAGCCACACCCACAGAACAGATAGTAAAAAAAAATTGGATTTCACCACTGTGTCAAACTCAAGGCCCAGGGTCAGGATCTGGACTACGGGGTGCTTAGATCTGGCCTGTGGGCCTACCCTGGAAACAGGGAAGGACCAGCCTGTGGTGCCTCTGCCAGCGAAAAGGGAGCTCGGGGAGGCTGCGCGTGACCTTCCTGAACTCCGTTTTCACTGGCAGAGGGCTGTAGGAGACTGTCATGGCCAAAAATGGAGCTCGGGAGGGCCGTCGTAGCCGAAAACAGAGCCCAGGAGGGCCGATGTAGCCAAAAATGGAACCTCAATGAGTGACATCAAGCTGGCCACTCCTGCCCTGCCACACACACATACACACCCCGAGGTCAAACACAACCTTGATGTGTCCCTCAATGAAATCGAGTTTCAGACCCCTGGATTGTACTATTTATCCAAATGCTTGCTCCATCTTCTCAAAACTAAGCCAGCTTTGACCCTGAGGATGGAAGGTTATCCTAAATTATCCTAATCCACTGTTTCCAGAGCAACCATTTATTTATTTATTTATTAGTCATATTTCTATGCCGCCCACTCTCCGAGGACTCTGGGCAGCTTACACCAAAGACAGTATACTAAATAGCATATTGCCCCCAACAATCTGGGTCCTCATTTTACCCACCTCGGAAGGATGGAAGGCTGAGTCAACCTTGAGCCGGTGAGATTTGATCTGCTGATCTGCTGAATTAGCAGTCAACTGAAGTAGCTGCAGTACTGCACTCTAACCACTGCGCCACCTCGGCTCTTGTTACCATGTAACCTAACACACTTCCTGACTTGAGTTACCATGATTGATTTAGGAGATCTACCTTCCTTTTCAACCATTCAGATTGATTCATGCTTCATCAGAAATGTAGACAATTTCCTCTTATTATCGGCCTAGCTAAACACCTGGCAAGTGCAGTTCCCGGGTTCATCTATAATGCAAAGATGCGATTGTGTTGCTTCGGTTTTGCAGTTGTAGAAAAGTGAAGCTCATTACAGCTGAGCATCTTTAACAAGAGCCTCTTGTGACCGAGCGATGCGTTTGGCTTAATGGTCCATAAATTGCACAGTCCAGCCATGTACTATGTTTGATAGTGTGGGAAGAATTTATAAATCGACATAACTGTGTTAGAAATATTGTATAGGGAATCCTATCCCAAAGGTGCTTTTTCAAGAGGCAACTGGACTTTCTTGTTTTTTCTTTGAAGACGTTGCCTCTTGAAATAGGACCTTTGGGATATTGGACACACAAGGAATTTATTTATTTATTTTATTTATTATTTTATTATATTTCTATACCGACCTTCTCCTGCGGGACTCAGGGCGGTGTACAGCCAGGATAAAACATAGCATATAAAATTTAAAAACATTTTAAAAAACAATTAAATAATTTTGGCCCGAATTTAAAACAACCCAATTAAAACCGAAATTCGATTAAAAAACTGAGAGGATGGGATCAAGCCAGCCCAGCTAGATGGAACAAGTGTGTCTTCAGGGCCCGACGAAAAGTCCAGAGGTCTAATATCGTGCGTATCTCAGGGGGCAGGTCATTCCAGAGGGCAGGTGCCGCCACAGAGAAGGCTCTCCCCCTGGGGGTCAACACCCAGCACTGCCTGGCCGACGGCACCCTGAGGAGGCCCTCTCTGTGCGAGCAAACCGGTCGGCGGCAGAAGGCGGTCTCGCAAATACCCCGTCCCTAAGCCATGGAGCGCTTTAAAGGTGGTCACCAACACCTTGAAGCGCACCCGGAAGACCACAGGAAGCCAGTGCAGCTCGCGCAGGAGAGGTGTTATATGTGAGCGCCCCGTCACTCCCATAATCCCCCGCGGGGCTGCGTTCTGGACCAACTGCAGCCTCCGGGTACACCCCAATTTGTCTTTGGTGCATAAGCTCTCATTGTACCTAAAACCTATAAGTCATAAATCATGATCATAGTCATCATAAAAATACATTCATCTTAAATCATAAGATACTACACTTAGTGATAGTCATAGGATACTGAATAAGCAATCAACAAAAATCATGCTAGGAAACTAAATAAAACAATATAAATCATAAAGATGCAAGCGACAAAGTTATAGTGATAAGTAGAAAAGGAGGCAGGTAATAAGAAAAGGAGATAGGTAATCATGTCTGTTCAGTCATCAACATGGGAATATGGAGGTCCCAGCTGCATTGACTAATGGATTTACCCCTTTGGTAATGCTGGTACTGTTATGGCGCCAGAACAGCTTCTGTAGCCACTGCAGAAGTTTCTGAAGAAGCCCCTTGACAAAGAACTGAGAAAAATGGATGGTAAGATTCTTGGAGCATCTCTGCCCAAGTTGTAAGCTGCAAACAACCACCAGGGAAAATCTTAAACTTAGGGATTCTTGTTGGTCATGGACTTCAGTAAACACCATGTTGTTGTTGTTAGTCGCAAAGTCGTGTCCAACCCATCATGACCCCATGGATAACGTTCCTCCAGGCCTTCCTGTCCTTTACCATCCTCTGGAGTCCATTTAAGCTCACGCCGACTGCTTCAGTGACTCCATCCAGCCACCTTATTCTCTGCCATCCCCTTTTGCCCTCAGTCTTTCCCAGCATTAGGCTCTTCTCCACTGAGTCCTTCCTTCTCATTAAGTGGCCAAAGGATTTGAGTTTCCTCTTCAGGATCTGGCCTTCTAAAGAGCAGTCAGGGTTGATCTCTTCTAGGACTGACCGGTTTGATCACCTTGCAGTCCAAGGGACTCGCAGGAGTCTTCTCCACCACCAGAGTTCAAAGGCCTCAATTCTTTGGCGCTCATAGCTTGTTGGAAAAAGACACCAAGTTCTTTGTATCACCTGTATGCACCTCAGGTCCATCCATACCAATGATAGGATTATTTTGTTTGTTTGTTTACTTTTTGCAGGAACTGCCTCTGTTGCTGTAGCCGGAATCTTTGCAGCCTTAAGAATTACAAAGAACAAGCTTTCTGATAATAAATTTGTCTTCCAAGGAGCTGGAGAGGTAAGATTCTGGTTTGATTCTGAAACCCAAAGATGCTTTTTCAGGAGGCAACTGGGGTTCCTTGTTTTTTCTTTTGAAGACATTTCGCTTCTCATCCAAGAAGCTTCTTCAGCTCTGACTGGATGGTGGGGAATGGAAGGATTTATATTCCTTGCAGACAGCTGGTCATTTTGGAATGCGAATGCTCCGTTGGATATCGGGCGTCTCCCTTCTTGACCACATTGCAAATGACACTATTCGACAACATTTTGGTTTGGCACCAATTATAGAGAAGATGAGAGAAGGCCGACTCCGCTGGTATGGATATGTCCAGAGAGCAGCACCTTCCACCGTGGCCAAGACTGCCCACCAACTAGAAGTCAATGTCGGGCAACTTTGCGGGCGCCCAAAACAGAGATGGCACGATACCATCAAGTAAGATATGCAAGCTGCGGGCCTGCGCCCTGGAGACTCAGATGACCATGCAAAGTGGCGTTCAATGATCCAAAAAGTGGACTCTGCACCTGTGGAATACACTAGGAAGAAGAAGCAGACAGCTGGTCATTTGCATCCTTTGCACTTGGAGGTTTATCTGTGGCCTCAGAGTCACCTGAGCAGTGCAAATGGTTCCTGTAGAACAGCGGTTCTCCACCTGTGGGTCGTGACCCCTTTGGGGGTCGAACGAGCCTTTCACAGGGGTCGCCTAAGACCATCGGAAAACACGTATTTTCGATGGTTTTAGGAACCGAGACTCCGCTCCTCTGTCCGTCTCCAGGCAGGTCCAATCACGCGGCTCAGCTGGGATCATCAGAGGCTTCCAAAAGCATTTTTTTCTGCAACCTCTTCGGCAGAAGAGGTTGTAGGAAAAAAAATGCCTTTAAAAGCCTCTGGCGATCCCAGCTGAGTTGCCTGATCATCAGAGGCTTTTAAAAGTATTTTTTTCTGCAACTTCTTAAGGTTGTAGAAAAAATGCTTTTAAAAGTAAAAAAAAAAAAAAAGTTGGCCACGCCCACCCAGTCACATTACCCCACACACACACCAAGCCACACCCACAGGGTCACCACAACATGAGGAACTGTATTAAAGGGTCGCGGCATTAGGAAGGTTGAGAACCACTGCTGTGGAACCAGGAGCACCACTCAGGTGACCCTGAGGACTCAGATAAACCTCCAAGTGCTTCAACGACCCTCTAAAAGGATGCAAATGACCAGCTGTCTGCAAGGAATATAAATCCTTCCATTCCCCACTATCCTGTCAGAGCTGAAGAAGCTTCTTGGATGAGAAGTGAAACGTCTTCAAAAGAAAAAAACCCCAGAAAGTCCAGTTGCCTCCTGAAAAAGCACCTTTGGGACAACCATGACCTGGATTAACTGAGAATCTCTACAGACTTTTTTTGCCTCTGAGAGTTACAGGGTTTGGGGGATCCAACTCTCAGCCTTGTGAGGTAGTCCATGAATTCCTCCAATCTCCTTTTTTGGAGTTCGCCAAATAACAGCCATCGCCATGTCTTATAGTAAGGAGTTTCACAGCTTAGTCACTTCCATGAAGAAATACTTTCCTTTTTTGTTCTGAAATCAGTTTCATTGGATGTTCCTACTGGTCTTACTCTTTCATTCCTTCTGTTATAAGGAATTAATAAATTAATTAATTTGTATTTATTTATTTGCATCTTATGCAGGCTGCTTTGGGTATTGCTCACCTCATAGTGATGGCACTAGAGAAAGAAGAAATTCCCAGAGAAGAAGCTGTTAAGAAAATCTGGATGGTGGACTCCAAAGGACTCATTGTCAAGGTAATTGTCAGGCCCTTAAAACAGGGGCCACAAGGATTCCAGGGATGGTACAGCACCTGTAATTGGGATTGGTAAATCTGTTGCTAAGGATGCAATCATAAGACCCAATGTCACCTGACTGTAACATCTTATGATGGCAGTTCCAGTAGTCCAGTAATAGTTCAAGATCAAGTGGGGTACTAATATCACTCTATAAAGCCTTAGTAAGACCACCCCTAGAGTACTACATGTCAGGGCATTTATTAATCCCATGTTTGGCTCTGGGACTAATTACCCTGGTTTAATTAGAGGAGATGAATCGTGGCTCCTCCTTGTTTGCAATATTCTGAAAAAGAAACGCGAAGAAAGGTTTCTAATAAAACTCATTTATTTGTTATAAAGAAAATAAAACACCTCACTAACTAAGAAAAGTTAATTGTCACATTTTGGCAAGCGAGATCTCCTGCCGGTCCAGCCGGACCTCTGGCAAGAGAACAAAGGAAAGAGTGAGTGAAGGAATGTGAAAGAATGTGGGTGGATACGGAAACACGTACCTTACTGATAAGAAGTTGGCAAGCTACGGAGAGTCTGACAGTCCAGAAATGATGAGTTCAGCTGGCAAATAAAATAACGCAGTGACACTACATCCAGTTTTGGTCACCACTCTATAAAAAAAGATGAGACTCTAGAAAGAGTGCAGAGAAGAGCAACCAGGATGATTAGGGGACTGGAGGCTAAAACATACGATGAACGGTTGCAGGAACTGGGCATGGCTAGTCTAGTGAAGAGAAGGACCAGGGGAGACATGATAGCAGTCTCCCAATATTTGAGGGGCTGCCACAGAGAGAAAGGGGCTCAAGCTATTCCCCAAAGCACCTGAAGGCCAGACAAGGCATAATGGATGGAAACTGAACAAGAGGAGAGATTCAACCTGGAAATAAGGAAAAGTGAGAACATCTATTAATCTAAACAATTCAGCGTTGAGTGAAGAATTTACCCACTCTTAGAATCCCATCGTTCAAACTCTTTGGTAAAATTGCATCCAGATCCCAAAGGCTTCTGAATAAGACAAGGATTATGGGTTCAGATTCGATCTTTTTTAAAAAAAACTTGGAAACATGTTTGCCTGTGCCTTTCTTGTTTCCCAGGGCAGGAGTCATCTGAACCACGAGAAGGAGATGTTTGCTCATGACCATCCCACTGTGAAGACACTGGAGGAAGTGGTGCAGACAATAAAACCAACAGCCATTATTGGTAAGCCTTCCTCCTTCTTTGTAGAATTTTCTCTGTTGCTTCCATCCTGTTTTCAGGCCTTCTATGGTGAATGCTGATTCTCACTTTCAAGCTGCAATTACTGACTAATTATTATTTGTTAGATTTTTTTTTATCCCACCTTTATTACTACAGTAATAACTCAAGCTGGCGAATATAACTAATACTCCTTCATCCTTCTGTTTTTCCCACAACAACCCTGTGAGGTGGCTTGGGTTAAGAAAGAGTGAATGGCCCGAACTATCAGTCTCCTGGTGATTGGTCCAAAGTCACCCAGCCGACTTTCATACCTAAGGCGGGACTAGAGCTCTCAGTCTCCTGGTGATTGGTACCACCCAGCTGGCTTTCATGCCTAAGGCGGGACTAGAACTCTCAGTCTCCTGGTGATTGGCCCAAAATAACCCAGCTGGCTTTCATGCCTAAGGCGGGACTAGAACTCTCAGTCTCCTGGTGATTGGCCCAAAATAACCCAGCTGGCTTTCATGCCTAAGGCGGGACTAGAACTCTCAGTCTCCTGGTGATTGGCCCAAAGTAACCCAGCTGGCTTTCATGCCTAAGGCGGGACTAGAACTCTCAGTCTCCTGGTGATTGGCCCAAATAACCCAGCTGGCTTTCATGCCTAAGGCGGGACTAGAACTCTCAGTCTCCTGGTGATTGGCCCAAAGTCACCAGCTGGCTTTCATGCCTAAGGCGGGACTAGAACTCTCAGTCTCCTGGTGATTGGCCCAAAGTCACCCAGCTGGCTTTCATGCCTAAGGCGGGACTAGAACTTTCAGTCTCCTGGTGATTGGCCCAAAGTCACCCAGCTGACTTTCATGCCTAAGGTGGGACTAGAACTCTCAGTTTCTGGTGATTGGCCCAAAATACCCAGTGGCTTTTGCCTAAAGCGGGACTAGAACTCTCAGTCTCCTGGTGATTGGCCCAAAGTCACCCAGCTGGCTTTCATGCCCTAAGGCGGGACTAGAACTCTCAGTCTCCTGGTGATTGGCCCAAAGTAACCCAGCTGGCTTTCATGCCTAAGGCGGGACTAGAACTTCTTGTGGGGAAAACAAGAGGAGGAAAGCGTGTTCCGTATTTTCCTTGAGTTATTTGTAAAAATAATATAGGCGGTATGCCAATAAATAAACACTTAAGCGGTTTAAGACATTGCTTCACATCATGTTCTAAAAACATGCTTAGTTGGCTTGTGGTTTTTATGGGTGGTAGATTGCACAAATCCAGGCTGATTGTTTAGTTTTCACTTCATTTGTGTGAATCCATAAAAAAAGCATAGACAACAAGAGTAGACAATAGTTAGCAAATCTCAATAGCACTTAGACTTATATATAGGTAGTCCTAACATATGACCATAATTGAGCCCAAAGCTTTGGTTGTTAAGTGAAACATTTGTGAATTTTGCTCCATTTTACGATTTTTTTCCTGCCAGAGTTGTTAAGTGAATCACTGCAGTTGGTAAATTAGAGACACGGCTGTTAAGTAAATCTGGCTTCCCCATCGACTTTGCTTGTCAGAAGGCTGACAAAGGGGATCACATGACTCAGAGACACGGCAACCGTCATAAATGTGACGGTTGCCAAGCACCTGCGTTTTGATCAGGGGACCATGGGAATGCTGCAAGGGTTGTAAGTTCACCAATAAAGGAGAATATTTGTAGCTCAGGGTTGCTCTCTAAGCTTGGTTGTTTTCTTGCTGGTTTTCTGGTTTGCATTACCCAAACAAGGTAACATCATTGGTGCTAGTGTAAGTTATAATTTCAATTTCAATTTAATTCAATTTATATGCCGCCCCTCTCCGAAGATTCAGGGCGGCTCACAATACATTTAAAATCCTAATTTATTTATTATTTATTTATTTATTATTTAAATTTCTATACCGCCCTTCTCCAGAATAGGACTCAGGGCGGTGAACAGCCAGAGTAAAAAAAACAATACATACAAAATTTAAAAGCAATTTAAAATAATTAAATATTATTGGCCGTAAATTAAAAAACCCAATTTAAAATCAATTTAAAATTAACTCAAGCCAGCCCCACTAGTTGGAATAAATGAGTTTTCAGGGCCCGACGAAAAATCCGGAGGTCTGTTATTGTACGTATCTCTGGGGGGAGGTTGTTCCAGAGGGTGGGCGCCGCCACAGAGAAGGCTCTCCCCCTGGGGGTCGCCAGCCGACATTGTCTGGCGGACGGCACCCTGAGGAGGCCCACTCTGTGCGAGCGTACTGGCCGGTGGGAGGCTATTGGTGGCAGAAGGCAGTCTCGTAGATACCCCGGCCCTAAGCCATGGAGCGCTTTAAAGGTGGTCACCAACACCTTGAAGCGCACCCGGAAGACCACCGGAAGCCAGTGCAACTCACGCAGGAGAGGTGTTACATGGGAGCGCCTCGTCGCCCCCATAATCCCCCACGCGGCCGCGTTCTGGACCAGCTGGAGCCTCCGGGTGCACCCCAGGGGGAGCCCCATGTAGAGAGCGTTGCAGTAGTCCAGGCGTTTTAAAACATTAAAACTCATTCATACCATTCATGGCCGGATCTCGCCAGATCGCAAGAGCGAGATCAACGGCCCCAGGCCTGCCGGAAAAGCCAGGTCTTCACCGCTTTCCGGAAGGCCAATAAGTCTAAACAATAGTCATAAGTCACTTTTTTCAGTGACGTTGTAACTTTGAACGGTCAGTAAATGAACCGTTGTAAGTCGAGGGCTACCTGTATGCCTCTTCATAGTGCTTTACAGCCCTCTCTAAACGGTTTACAGAGTCAGCCTATCGCCCCCAAAAATCTGGGTCCTCATTTTACCGACCTCGGAAGGATGGAAGGCTGAGTCAATCTTGAGCCAGTCAATTCATTCCCATCCAACTTTTGTTTTCTTCCTTTTGTTCTCTTTCTTTTTTTTTTTTTTAAAAAATAATCTTACAGGGGTGGCGGCTGTGGCAGGTGCTTTCACTCCCCGGATTTTGAAGGACATGGGGACCTTCAATGAGAAGCCCATCGTGTTTGCCCTCAGCAACCCAACGAGCAAAGCAGAATGCACTGCCGAAGACTGTTACCGTTTGACAGACGTAAGACTGCTCTCATAATTGAGTCCACCATTACGTTCATAAATTGAGACGGTCACGAAGTGGATTATCATGTGACCGTGAGATCTTTTATTTACAGCGGGCGTTAAGCAAATGCCACGGTCATTGTTCACGGGGCTGGTGTCAGGTTTCCAAGTAATACACCCATTGCAAGCAAAACTCCGAGGCAGGCAAATTCCTCAAAGAATAGTTTTATTGCAGAGGTGAGCAACTGTGGCCCTTTTATGACTTGTGGACTTCAATTCCCAGAATTCCTGAGCTAACATGGCTGGCTCAGGAATTCTGGGAGTTGAAGTCCACAAGTCATAAAAGAGCCATAGTTGCCCACCCCTGTTTTATTGGATATAACATGTTGGCTAGGGGTGGGTTCTAAAATTTTTTACTACCGGTTCTGTGGGCGTGGCTTATTTTGTGGGCGTGGCTTGATGGTCATGTGACAATTCTTTAGGATTTAGCAGAGGTACTGGTCTACCAGGCTTTTAACTGCTTGTAGAATTGTAGCAGTCTACTCATTTGTTTTTGGAGGCACCGGTCTACTCATTTGTTTTTGGAGGCACCAGTCTACCCATTTGTTTTTGGAGGCACCGGTCTACCCATTTGTTTTTGGAGGCTTTGGTCTACTCGTTTGTTTTTGGAGGCACCGGTCTACTCATTTGTTTTTGGAGGCACCGGTCTACTCATTTGTTTTTGGAGGCACCAGTCTACTCATTTGTTTTTGGAGGCACCGGTCTACCCATTTGTTTTTGGAGGCACCGGTCTACTCATTTGTTTTTGGAGGCATCGGTCTATTCATTTGTTTTTGGAGGCACCGGTCTACCCATTTGTTTTTGGAGGCACTGGTCTACTCATTTGTTTTTGGAGGTACCGGTCTCCTTTTAACACTCATCAGCTGTAGGGCGGCCCTTTGAAGCCCCACGGCAAGAGTTTAAACAGTTATTTTCCTTCTAGCCAATCAGCTGGGACTCGGGAGGCAGCAATAGATTGGGGGTGGGGTCAAATAAAAGGTAAGAATAACGCAGGGGGGTCAGGGGGGTAGGGAGGGCCCAGCTCCCGAACAAAGAGAACCGGTTCGGTGATGTCATATCGTCACCGCTACCAGCTCGGCCGAACCGGGCCGAACTGGGAGGAACCCACCACTGATGTTGGCACAGTCCTGGTGAAAACAGACTCTTAAAAACTCCCATGGTTTTCACCTAATTAAAAGTAAAGGTTTGTCTCCCTTCCCCAAACAATCAGTCACATGGTCCAAAAAAACCCAATATGAATAAAAATTAAAATAAAATAAAATTATGCAGCTCCTTGACTTCTTGCCGGCTATGGCTGGACTTTATCTTGGATTTCTTTGGACAGGGCCGTGCCATATTTGCTAGCGGGAGCCCGTTTCCAAAGGTAACCCTCTCCGATGGACAGACCTTCTTCCCTGGCCAAGGGAACAACGCCTACGTTTTCCCCGGAGTCGCTCTAGGAATCATCGCTTGTGGAGTCCGTCACATCACCGAGGAAATCTTTCTCGCCACAGCAGAGGTTCGCATTCTTCTCTCCCACTTAACTACCATTTTAGTTCCAAGGACGGGAAAGCAGGGGATGTTATGGGTCCCATCGATTGGGGATGTGCCGTTTCAGATAGTGAGTTATAGTGAATTAATTACCTTAAGGATTAAGAGCTGTCTCCTTAAGAGATTGCATTGTGGGAGATGTAAAGAGAGATTGCATTATAGGAAATGTAGTCCATGACATGTGACCACATCTGTGTGTCTGATTGGCCACTGAGGCTCTCTGCCTGGGTGCAGAACAAAGACCCGGGCATTTTGAACTACCACAGAAGAGAGAAGCATGCTTTCTGAACAGGGGGACAGAACTACCGTCATTTTACACTAGGAAATGGGATAGATTATGAAATACTTGGATGAACCTCACCTTGACTCACCATGATTGTAAGTCTATGTTCTGAGGATACCCGAAATAAATATAATCTGCATGAAAACCTGTTTGCTGGAGTTTATCTACCTATTCCCAATGGAGCCAGGGGAGGTTTCTCTGGTGGGCCTTCTCGGTGGTGGCCCCTTCTCTATGGAATGTCATTCTCCCCAAGGTATGGTTTGGCCCCGCCAAGGTGCTTTTTGGAAGGGCCCTAAAAACATGGTTTTGTCAGTGGGCCCGAGAAGACGGAGCCGATCGAGTGGTTGATTTGATTGTGTTGTTGCCATGGGAGGGGGAGTTATGAGATTTTATGTGGTGGATTTTTAAATATTGTAGGCCGTTGGTGAAGCCACACACTCTCTTTCTTCTCTTCCAGGCAATTGCACAAGAGGTGACAGAGGAAAACCTGGCTGAAGGAAGGCTCTATCCACCTTTGAGCTCGATTCGAGACGTGTCCTTCAAAATTGCCGTTAAAGTAAGACTATTGTGAAGTTCTTGGTATGAGAGCTAGAACAATTCTGACACTTAGAACAATTAATCAGTGGAACGACTTGCCTCCAGAAGTTGTGAATGCTCCAACCCTGGAAGCTTTTAAGAAGAGATTGGACAACCATTTGTCTGAAGTGGTGTAGCGTTTCCTGCCTAAGCAGGGGGCTGGACTAGAAGACCTCCAAGATCCCTTCCAACTCTGTTATTCTATTCTAGAGATTGAAGTTCCTACTCTTGAAAACAAACTCCTCTTTCCTCTACGTTCTTAAACAATGAATGTTTCAGCAACAGGTTACAAGTCACTAAATACACATCAAAAGAAATCTACCTTGCAGGTAGTCCTCGAATCTATGACCGAAATGGAGCCTTCCCATTATGGCTGAAAGTCATGATAGTCATAAAATGAGTCAGTCATATGATAGACAATTTTATGACCTTTTTTTTCGCGGTGGCTGTTAAGCAAACACTGTGGTTGTATTGTGGATGCCACATGAGTTAAGCAACATCATAGTTGTTAAGCGAATCAATACAGGTAGTCCTCAACTTACAACAGTTCACTTAATGACCGTTCCAAGTTACAACGGCACTGAAAAAAGTAACTTACAACCGCTTTTTCACACTTATGACCGTTGCAGCATCCTCATGGTCATTGGATTTATATTTGAATGCTTGACAATTGACTCACATTGATGACAATTGCAGCATCCCGGAGTCGCAGGATCCCCTTTTGCGACCCCCTGAGAAGCAAAGTCAGTGGCGAAACCAGATTCACTTAACAACCGTGTGACTAACTTGACAACTGCAGTGTGATTCACTTAATAAATGCGGCAAGAAAAGTTGTAAAAATGGGGCAAAACTCACTTAACAGATTCCTCACTTAACGTAAATTTGAGGCTCAATTGTGGTCATGTTGAAGAGTACCTATAGTTCCTTATGGGCACAGTTTTGCCCAAAACTGGAAATATGTTTTCATGACTATGGGATACTGTAAATGGCCATAGCAATAGCATTTAGACTTATATACCGCTTCACAATGCTTTACAGCCCTCTCTAAGCGGTTTACAGAGTCAGCTTATTGCTCCCCAGCCAGGGATGAAATGCTCCCGGTTTGGACCGGATTGCCCGATCCAGTAGCAATGGAGGCGGGTGGTTCGGAGAATCGGTAGCAAAAATCCCTGCTCCCCCCCCCATTGCCCAGCTGAGCCGCACAATCATCAGAGGCTTTTTTTTTATTATTTTTAAAAGCATTTTTTCTGCAACTTCTTTGGCCGAAAAAATGCTTTTAAAAGTTAAAAAAAAAAAAAGCCTCTGATGATCGCGCGGCTCAGCTGGAATCATCAGAGGATTTTAAAAGCATTTTTTCTACAACCTCTTCAGCTGAAGAGGTTATAGAAAAAATGTTTTTCAAAGGAAAAAAAGCCTCTGCCGATCAGGCAAGTCAGCTGGGATCATCAGAGGCTTTAAAAGCATTTTTTTACAACCTCTTAAGCCGAAGAGGTTGTAGAAAAAATTGTAAGCCACTCCCACAGAACCGGTAGTAACAAATTTTACATTTCATCACTGCCCCTAACAGTCTGGGTCCTCATTTTACCCACCTCGGAAGGACGGAAGGCTGAGTCAACCTTGAGCCTGGTGAGATTCGAACTGCCAAATTGCAGACAGTCGGCAGATGTAGCCTGCAGTACTGCATTCGAACCACTGCGCCACCACGTAAATGCAATAGTGTTACCAAGCACCCGAAATTCAGTCACATGATCAAGGGGAGGCTGTGGTTTGATCTTCAAATGCAGGTTGTAAATAGCCCCAAGGTAGATTTGCCGTGACTTCAAACGGTCACTAAGTGACCAGTCGTAAGTGGAGGACTACCTGTAGTGGCATCCATAGAGCAAATGAGAAAATGGCCAAGTTGTCTACAACACCTATCATAGCATTGTTGGCTTTGGAGGTCGGGAGTTATCTAGATCAGTGGTTCTCAACCCCTGGAGACCACAATATTATCACAGGAGGTCTGCAAAGGTTTGAAGAAATGCTATGATTCAAATCTTAAGTCTTGGTGATCCCTGGCCACAAAAGGTATTTAATGAGGTTCCTTGGTGAAGAAAAGGTTGAGAGCCACTGATCTAGATCAGGAGTCTCCAACCTTGGCAACTATTCAGTCCCCGTCTCACACACGCACACAAACAGACAGCCAGGGGTTAAATAAACTGGCAGACAACAAATTCTTCTGATAAGAGGCTTGGCAGCAACCCAGTAGCTGCTTGCCAAGAACTTTACTCATAAACAAGATACACACAGTTCAAGAATTGTCCAGTCCGTAATTAAATCCAAGGCCGATAATGTTGTTTTCAAAGATGCAATGTGACTCGATAGTAGTTAGTTTTGTCCGTCACAGAGTCTGAATGGCCACCTCACCCCCTTTTATACCCTGTGGGGTGTGGTCCAGTGACTCAGCTTAATCTCTGGCACGCCTCTTCTTCTGTGGCATGCGCTTATCTCTGCGACGCTGCCGAGAATCCAGCCAAGACTCATCTCCCTCATTACTGTCCACCTGTGGCTGCGTGGACGTGCTTGGCCCCGGGCCTATCTCTTGCCTTTCGGCGGACACCGAAGGCATTGCCAGAGAGGAGGGTCCTGGAGAGGGAGGCCTTGCCAACTCCTCTCCTTCACTCTCGGAGTCCTCTCCTGCCGATGACACAGGCTCAGGTAACGGAGCCACAACAGCAACTTCAAGACTTGTGGACTTCAACTCCCAGAATTCCTCAGCCAGCTGAATTCTGGGAGTTGAAGTCCACAAGTCTTAAAGTTGCCAAGGTTGGAGACTCCTGATCTAGATGGTATCTGGTTGGAACAAATGGCTTTGTCCAATGTTTATTTTTTTCTTCTATCTCTTGTTCTTAGGTGGTTGACTATGCCTACAAACACAACTTGGCCTCCTGGTATCCAGAACCAGAGGACAAAGAAGCATTCGTGAAAAACCTCATATACAGCCCTGACTATGATTCCTTCATTATCGATAATTATCAGTGGCCGCAGGAAGCCATGAAGACTCAAAATATTTGATATTTCTTTTTTGTGAAGGTGGGCAAGAAAAATCTTCAAGCAGCTGTGAACCTTAAGGATGCTAAGGTGTCTTGATCTTCAAACCTTGTAGGATCTTCAGTTATTTTTTATGAGCAGCTTCCTTTTTTAAAAAAAAAAAGCAAAAAAAATCTGAGCCGGAAATCATACTGAGTAAACAAGGACCAATTATGCCATCAGCGCCCAGTGCACGGATATGATTAGATGAAATTTAGAAGGTTCCGTACTCTTGAATCTCCTTTCGCAACTCAAACTGACCTTCCCTAATCTGGTCCTTTCCCAATGTATTAGAACTTCCGCTCCTCAAATTCCCTATCGGCATGGTTCCCTTCCAGGTTGAAGAAGGCTGGATTAGGAATTTCTGCAGAGTTCATAGAAAATACTTTTGCTAGATGACTTCATATCTATTAAGATGTAATTCAGGGATGAAATCCAGCAGGTACTGACAGGTTCTGGACAACTGGTAGCGGAAATTTTGAGCAGTTCGGCGAACCGGTAGCGGAAATTATGAGTAGTTCGGAGAACTGGCAAATACCACCTCTGCCTGGCCCCCAGAGTAGGGTGGGAATGGAGATTTTGCAATATCCTTCCCCCAGGAGTGGGGAGGGAATGGAGATTTTGCAGTATTCTTCCTCTGCCACGCCCACCATGCCACGCCCACCAAGCCACACCCACAGAACCGGTCGTAAAAAAATTTGAATTTCACCTCTGGTGTAATTGCTATGGCCTTTCTCAAGGTTACCATTCATGGGTTTAGGAGAATGTAACTGTTTCATAATGACCATGGAACGGCCATTGGGCATACAGTTCAGAAGTGACTTCTTGCCCAGAGTTCTGCATGGCTTCTACCAGTCTTAGCAACTATCCCCAGGGCCAGTGGTGGGTTTCACTTACCTTTGCTACCGGTTCACTCGCGCATGCGCAGAGCGTATTTGGGTGGAACCTCCCGCTGCCGCTACTACCGGTTCACTAGAACCGGGGCAAACTGGTAGCAGCCCACCACTGCCCAGGGCCCTGATTCTAACCCTGATCCTCATTAGAGATCTGGATGGTGTTATTTTAGCAGTTATGCAGAATTCTCACTAACCCAATTTATTGAAAAATTTCCAGGTAACTGGGATTCCTTTACCCAGTTTATATCTTGTTACCATACAACAATGAAAGTTCTACCAAACTCACTATGTTTGGGTTGGCAGCACAGACTAACTCAAGAAGCACTCCAAGTGCATGTTGACACAATAACATATATCCATGGTTAATTAAGTCCTGATTTACTCAAGTATCCCAAATGTGTAAATTGCATGATACGCTGAAAGATTATAATGGCATAGGGTGGATTCATGCAACATATAAAAATAGAGTTAACCATTTCATGCTCCAGTGTTGACTATAGGTAGCCCAGGGGTGAAATGCTACCTGTTTGGACCGGTTTGCCCAAACTGGTAGTAATAAAAGCTACCGGTTCAAGTGAACCAGTAGTAAAAAAAATGCTACCAGTTCGGACGAACTGGTATTTCCAACGATCAGCTGTGCCTCGCGATTTATATTCACTAGAAAGCAGGAAATCCTGCGAATCTAAATCGCGCGGCACAGCTGTTCCCCCCCCCCTTGCTGTTCTACTTACCTTAGAAAAGGCTTCTTAATCCTCCTTTTTCAGCGCTGCGCAGTAGCATCTGTGGTGCACCTGCGCGTGGAGCATGCATTTGGCGCACCCACGCATGCGCACTGAACCGGTAGCAAAGTGAACCGGTAGCAGACTTTGGAGCATTTCACCACTGAGGTAGTCCTCAACTTACAACAGCAATTGGGGCTGCCATTTATCTCACTAAAACGGGACCTCATAGTTTAGCAACAGCAATCCCTGGAGTCCTGGTTGCCTTTGTTAACCAAATCTCACAGTTATTAGATGAGACAATTTCCTGCCAGTTTCCCGCAACCAAAGTGAGTAGGGAAGCTGGGAGGGAATTGTAAATCCTGGGCCAGCAAGCAGCTAAGAGGCTTCTGCTGAGTAGAGGGAGGTAGAAGGGATGTGGGAAGGATGCCTGGGCCAGAGAAACTTAACCCAGCAACTTGCAACCCTTCCTGTTGGCTTCCCCATTGACTTTCTGGGGAAGCCAGCGGGGAAGGTTCCAAATGGCAATCGTATGATTGTGCGCTCTGCAACTGGTTGTAAGTGCAAACTGGTTGCCGAGGGCCCAGATCATGATCATGTGACTGTGGAAAATGCTGGAACAACCAGAATTCTAAGGATCCATCATAATCACCATTCATTCAGCGTTGTTCAAACTTCAAACGGTTGCTGAATGAATGAATCTAAGTTGAGGACTATCTGTAGCTAACACGGTTTTAAAAAGGGGTTTACAGGGGTTTTTGATGGTGACTATAGACTAGAGTTTCCCAACCTTAGCGACTTTAAGATGTGTGGACTTCCAATCCCCATCAAGGCTGGTTGGGGAATTCTGGGAGTTGAAGTCCACATGTCTTAAAGTTGTCAAGATTGGGAGACACACTGCTATAAATTATAGCTTTTTTTCCCAGGCCTGTTCTGTAGAAATAGCACTCAAGTATCTGAAGAGTTCCGGTTAGAGCTTAGGATAGAGTTAAGCGTGAGGATTTTAAGCTAGTCTTCAGACCTTCCCATTAAGGATGATCCAGTCTTAAAGAAATGGATGTAACCTTTCTAATAAAAGATGAACTCGCAATTTCAACCTTGAGCGTTGAGAAAGAAAAGCGAAGTCTTCCTCCAAATTTCATTTGTATTTTATTTTGGTAGCCAAGGAACCCATAGGGAACGTCCTGCAGAGCTCCCCTTAGCTGTGTCAAGCTTAAACCGTGAGATAATCACTACTATGTCTTGGGAAAAATATTCATCTGTTAATTCTTATGCCTCCCCCTCAAACACAACCAAGAAATTGTAATCTCAGGGACTATTTTATTTTATTTTTTGCTTTAATGGTATTTATTGTATTTAAAACCATGAGCGGCATGGTGGCCTAGTGGTAAAGATGCTCGCCTCCCACTTGCAAGGTTGAGAGTTCCAATCCTAGATAGCGGCAGATATTTTTCTCTCTCTGGGCGCAAAGAGAAAATATCTGCTGTGAGCTCTGCATAGGCATCAGGAAGGGCATCCGGCCAGTAAATGCCCAGTCACCCAGATTCTACCCTGAATTAAGGGATTATAAGATTGTAAAAAGGGATTGTTGAATTTAAAATCATAGAGTTAGAACACTCTAAGTTCAGGCTTCAAAATCCACCCCCTGACCAAAACAGGAATCCAGATTAGAGCACTCCAGACAGATAGATGTCCAGCGTCTCCTTGTACTGTATACCCTTAACCCAAAGTGCCACCGTCTTCTCTGGTTGGCTGGACCCCATCAGAGGAAATATGCCAGTGAAGAAGTTTTCCCCAACCTTGGCAACTTTAGGATGTGCGGACTTCAACTCCCAGAATTCCCCAGCAGATTGCTGAGGAATTCTGGGAGTTGAAGTTCACACATCTTAAAGTTGCCAAGATTGGGTGAACCTGCTATAAAGGAAAAGAAGCAGCAGGTACTTCTGCCAAAGCTAAAAGCTTTATGCGTCCTCCTCAGGTGATGCTTCACCTCATTGGTCATTCATCAAATGTTGATTGTCATTCCTTCCAATGGATCTTGCTAAATCAGGCCCAAAGTAGAATCTAGCTAGTATTCTGTATTTAACCATCGTAGGCATGGTGTTTTAAAAGAATTGTTTTTCTTCACTGTTTCACATGCAGCTACTGTAATCAGCAACTGGTCTTCCATTTTTGTTCTATTCCTGAAGTGATAAAAAGGCCGCAGGAAGTTCAAAATTGTCTGCCTGCATTCTTATTTGTTTTAAAAACAATAGGATACTTTTCTTGGAGGACAATTTCATGGGATTTTTTTTTTTAAAAGCAGGGTTTTGTATCAGTGGTTTCAGCCTTTGAAGTCGGTTGCATTGTTTTTTCATCGAAGAATAGAGAATAGAATAGAATAGAATAGAATAGAATAGAATAGAATAGAATAGAATAGAATAGAATAGAATTCTTTATTGGCCAAGTGTGATTGGACACATAAGGAATTTGTCTTGGTGCATACGCTCTCAGTGTACATAAAAGAAAAGATATGTTCATCAAGATAGTCATAGGGTACAAATAAGCAATCAGGAAACAATATCAATATAAATAGTAAGGATACAAGCAACAAAGTTAGAGTCATACCGTCATAAGTGGGAGGAGATTGAAAAAACAGTGGGGGACAACAGTGGGATTCAACTATCAAGTGGCTTGTTCTTGCCTTGTTAAAATGTGAATTTGGTCCCTAGGAGGCAAAAATGTTAAGATGCCATCCCTGGAAGGGTAAATGAAGCTCCACCCCCTTGTTTGATAGATGTAAAAGAGGTGGAGCTTCAGCGGTGTCATTGCATCTTATTTTTTTTTAATTTATTAAAGATTATAACTGTAGTAATAAAATCTGATACAAACTCAAAAAAGGGGGAAAAAGAAAGAATAGTAGAAACGAAGAATAAAAAATGCAAAGAAAAAGAAGGAAGGAAGGAAAGAGAGAGAAAGAAAAGAGAGAGAAAGAAAAAAAGAAAAGAGGAAGAGAAAATATATAAAGAAGGGAGTTCCAACCTTAATCATAAATATAAACAATTTTAGTATGTCACCTCCTTTTAATTTATAAACAATAATCTATCCGGTGATCCAGCTCTTATAAGAGACTACTATAATCTGTAAATTCAGCCAATATTTTCCTTGTAACTGCAGTGAGATCACATCACACTCATGTCAGAATCCCTAGGAAGAAATTATGATTACCAAATCCTTCAACTATTATGAAGACCGGTACCAAATATTTGGTGAAATAGCTGCTGGTACTTGTGAGGAGGAGGCAAGTGTCCCCCTTGCTATTTTTTTTCCTTAATTCCCCTCTCCCCATACTCTTGAGATCCCACCAAACGTGATCTCCACACAGAAATGCTTCCAGTTCTGTTGAATCCTATTATCTTTCCTGCATCTTGAAGACCTCAAATGCTAAAGAGCTAAACAAGTGTCCCTTTGCTAAAGAAATTGCAAATCGTCTCCTGCCCGCAACAGAAATTAACACATGATGAAATTATACTTGAGACGTATTCATTCCTTACCTAAATTGCAGCGGACAAGAACAGATGTCAGTGCTACTGAGAGTCTAAAAAGGACAACCTGTATTTTGAAACAGATGGTAGTTTTCTACAAAAACCAGAGCATGGGCATATCCAAATTCCTTTTCAGCTTTGAGAGTTAGCTTATTCTCAGAAAGCGTTTGCTCCCTGTTGCAATTATATTGACAATTTTTAACAGAATTAAAAGGCAGGTTATGAGAATACGGGTTGGAGAGATTTCTTACTTTTTATGACAAGTGATGAAGCTATTTCCCTAAAACTACCAGTTCGGTCTGGTTCACCTGAACCGGTAGTAAAAAAGGCTACTGGTTCGCCGAACCAGTAGTAAAAAATGTAAAAAAAAAAAAAAGTGTTGACGATCAGCTGAGCGACGCATGATCGTCAGAACTTTTTTTTTTACTTTTTTAGCATTTTTTTACTACCGGTTCTCTGGAACCAGTACTTAAAAATGTTTCAGAAAGTAAAAAAAAGGCTCCAACGATCACAGCTGTGCCACGCGATCATCAGAGCCTTTTTAAAAAAACTTTTTAAAGCATTTTTTTACAACTTATTCGGTAAATAGGTTGAAAAAAAATGCTTTTAAAAGTAAAAAAAAAAAAAGGCTCTGAAGATTGTGCGCCACAGCTGATCACTCCCCCTCCGTGCACTCTCCTACTTACCCCATGCCTCCTTTTGGTGTGCACTGCACACACACGTGCACCTCGCATTTGGTGCATGGTGCACACTATGCATGCACACGCACAGTGCACATTTGGCACATAGCATGCATGCGCAGCTAGCAAACCGGTAGTAAACCGGTTCAGATTTCACCACTGTCTAAAACATTTTTTTCATAAGTGAAGTCTTTTTTGGGGGGGGGTTTAAAAACAAAACTTTATTAAACATATAAAAGTAAAATACTATACTATGTATATACAAGATACATATATATTAATACAAACGACAATACATAAAAAGAAAAAGGGACTTTGGTCACAGGTCCATTATCTTATTAACGGTGCATATTTGTTAATTATTATTATCATACAAAATTTTTCATTTACTCTCATTTCTATGAGTTATCCAATCATACCATCTATTCCACGCTATATAACATTTTGAGTCTACCTTGTCCTTCATTTCAAATGTTAGTTTGTCCATTTCCGCTCAATTATAGATTTTTTGGATTATCATTTGGTCTGTTGGCAGTTGTTCAGTTTTCCAATATTGGGCAAGTGCCAATCTGGCTGCAGTGACTATGTGTAATATTAAATACTTTATTTCTTTCCTATAGTTTTCTTTAATCATCCCTAGTAGGAAAATCTCTGGTTTGAGTTCTATTTTTTCCGATGTTATTTCTATTAGCCATAAGTGAAGTCTTACTTCACTTCACAGTCTTCCTGTGGCAGCCAAAAAACTTGAGGTAATTTGTGACTCAACGGTATACCTCTCACATTTAGTAAAACTTCCCAGTGTGGTTGTGCATACACACTTATGGGTGTATCTATCGCTTTTATGGAAGGGGCAGTATCAAATAAAAAAGAATCCACCACTCTCTTTTGTCACAGGTGGTCCTCAACTACAACCACCGGTTTAGCGACTATTCATAATTAAAATGGCTCCAGGGGGTGAGGGGGGGGGAAAGGTGACGTACAACTGGTCCTCACACTTATGACCATGGCAGTTACATAATCAAAATCTGGGTGTTTGACAACCAGCATGTATTTAGGAGAGTTGCAGTATGCCTAAGTCAAGTGATAGCCATTTATGACTTTCTCAGCTGGCTTTTGACAAGCTACGTCAGTAGGGGAAGCTGGATTCACTCAACAGCCATGGCAACAAAGGTTGTAAAATTGGGTTTGACTCGTTTAACAACTGCCTTGCTTAACAGTGGAAATTCTGGTCCCGATTGTGGGCATAAGTTGAGGACTACCTGCATAATAGAAAACCCTTTTCCCTACAGTCGTTCATTTGATTTATTGGATACATGGAGAGAACACTAAACTCTTGCCGTGAACGGTTGAGTTTGCTTTCCTCAACTATAACATTAAATCCTATCTTTTACCTCAGAATATCAGGTTTTTCCCCTGCTTTACCTCAGTGGGAATAAAGTCATTGATGAGCTTTAAACTCCAAATCGGGCAATGTCCTCTTTACTAAATATATTCAGCAGTTCTGGTGGCGCAGTAGTTAGAATGCAGTATTGCAGGCAAACTCTGCCCACAGTCTGGAGTTCGATCCCGACGGGGTTCAAGGTTGACTCAGCCTTCCATCCTTCCGAGGTCGGTAAAATGAGGACCCCCAGATTGTTGGGGGGTGATATGCTGACTCTGTAAACTGCTCAGAGAGGGCCGTAAAGCATTATGAAGCAGTATGTAAGTCTAAGTGCTGTTGCTGTTGTTATATTTGTAACTGCTGCTTATTCTTCATATTTAATACCTAGAGCAATTGCATACTTTCTATTTACTGTACCAGGCACATTAAGAGATCTAGAAAAAGAAGGGACAAAATCTGTAAGAAAGCACTGAAACTTTGGCACTGAAACTCACCCCACAACCACGTCTCCCAAATGAAGGGACAGATTCACTTACCGTTGCTACTGGTTTGCAAATGTGAGTGTGCGCAGAGCATCAAAACCAGGATGTGATGACATCTGGGCGGGTGGGCGGAGCCTCCCGCAGCAGCCGCTACAGGTTTACTCGAACCGGATAGAACCGGCTGAATACCAGCACTGGACAGATTGACTCTGTATTCCAGAATTTATCTAAATACTAAATTAAGATTTGTTGCACTAATCTTGCTCACTCTGAGTTTTGATAAGGAAATGAGTGGGTTTGAATACAGAGGCCACCCTCAAAGCAATAGTCATTTTCAAGGGAAATTGCAAGAAAATAGTATTGGGTTGTTGATGCAACTGAAATTGTTTTTATATACAGTACTGTCACATAAATACAGAGACTTGGTGAGGAGGTCTATGCTAGTAACTAGGGTGCTATTTTTTATTATTTTTAATTAAGATGTCTCCATGATCCTTCGCCTGCCTCATTCTCTGAACACACGTCCAACCATTTTATTTTAGACTACAAGTAGTCCTCCATTTGCAACAGTTCATTTAGTGACCGTTCAAAGTTACAACGGCACTGAAAAAGTGACTTAGGACCGCTGTGCACACTTAACGACTGTTGCTGCATCCCCACGATACATGATCAAAATTGAGACGCTTGGCACCTGACTCATATTTATGACGGTGGCAGTAAAGTCAACGGGGAAGCCAGATTCGCTTAACAACCGTGTGACTAACTTAACAGCTGCGGTAATTCAACTTAAAAACTGTGGTGGGAAAGGTTGTAAAATGGTTGAGTTCACAATTCTCTCGCTTAGCAATAGAAATTCTTGGCTCAATTGTGGTCGTAAGTCAAGGACTACCTGTACCTTAAAATGTTCTTTTTCAATGTTCTTGAAAAGTGATCGAGCCAGCTCAAGATCACTACAAAAATGTTAAGAGTGAGACGCTGCATAGCCAAGAACAAAAGAATTCCCAAGTGATGTTGTGTAGATCTCAATCTTCTGAAATGGTATAGGTTCTCCTGCTTGAGCAGGGGGTTGGACTAGAAGACCTCCAAGGTTCCCTTCCAACGCTTCTGTTATTCTGACCCAATGAGCTGCTTGAAGATATTGGATTAGGTCAGGGATCATCAACCTGCGACTCTGGAACCACATGTGGCTCTTTCACCCCTCTGCTGTGGCTCCGTTACTCAAAATATGTATCATAACCGCCAATGTGCGACACCCGCCAGCACATGATTTATTAAGCTTTTCAACCCCCGGTAGGCCAACCATAGATAAATCCAAGAAAAGAAAAGTTTCAGAAGAAAACAGAACATTTAATTCAACAACATATGCTAGTTTTGTGGCCACTCAAGAAATAGTCAGGCACAGGAAGGGTTTTGTGGCTCCCGGTGTTTTCTTTTCTGTGGGAAATGGGTCCAAATGGCTCTTTGAGTGTTTAAGGTTGTAGACCCCTGGATTAGGTGATGGAAACCAAACTGAATTTGCCATGGAAGTTGGATCCTGCACTTCTCCATGATTAATGCACTTTCTAGATATCATAAGGGGCCTTAAGATCCAGGTTAGATGTAGGCTGTTGATCTTCCGATCTACTCAACAATAAGTCTATCAAATGTCTATGGAGATTCTCAATCCTCCAGGTCATGGTTGTCCCAAATGCGATTTTCCAAAAAGGCAACAGGACTTCCTTGGTTTTCTCCCTGAAAACATTTTGCTTCACATTCAAGAAGCTTCTTCGCTTCTTCAGTTCTTCTGCTAACGGCCAGATGATTGCAAAGAATATAAATCCTTCCCTTCAGTTAGAACTGAAAAAGCTTCTGGGATGAGAAGCGAAATGTTTTCAAGGAAAAAAAACCCAAAAAAGTCTAGTTGTCTTTTGGAAAAGCCACCTTTGAGAAAAGGGTCTATTGAATGTTTTCCTGGGGCAGATAACGTAGCAATTAGACGTCAACCGATTCTCATTTATGTGCTCTGTGTCACCTGCAGTCAAACATCTAGACCCGTGACGGCGAACCTATGGCACGCGTGCCACAGGTGTCACGCGGAGCCATATGTGTGGGCACGCGAGCGTTGCCCTAGCTCAGCTCCAGCACGCATGCGTGTGCCGGCCAGCTGATTTTTGGGCCTTTTGAGCCCACCGGATGTCAGGAAATGGGCCATTTCCGGCCTCCAGAGGGCCTCCGGGGGAGGGGGGAGGCTGTTTTCGCCCTCCCCAGGCTCCTAGAAAGCCTCTGGAGCCTGGGGAGGGCAAAAATAGGTCTATGGGGCTCACCAGGCCATCAGGTGCCAAAAGCAGGGGGAGCGTGGGGGGGATCACGTGTGCATGCACGAGGGGGCGGGGCGTATTGAATTATGGGTGTGGGCACGCACGCACGTGACCCTCCCACGGTCCCCCCACTTTTGGCACGCGACGGGAAAAAAGTTAGCCATAACTGATCTAGATTCTAGATTCTGGAGTGTGTGTCCTCATTGGTTTAATCCAAATCGTCCAAAAGGAATGTGTTGTTTCTAAATAACTGAGAAAGCACAATATCAATAAATGCCTTTGCTGTGACTTTCGCATTACAAAATTGCTGTGTATGTCCTGTGATGAAATCTTCCTGTGCTCTTTTGCGCCTATTAAAATCTACTTCCACAAAGTCCATGAATCTAGAGCACTGTTAATAGTCCTGGTTTGGTATGTATTAGCTAACGCTAGAATAAAGATTTTCACATAATAAAGAACTATGACTAATCGTCTTATTTTAGCTAAAGCTGTCGTGAGACTGTGAGATTCAGCACAGCAGCCACTGAAAGCAGGAGGAAAACACCTATTGATTGGTTTGTTATCTCACCTGTATTATTTTTACAAACATCCCAAGTTGGAGAACCTAACTAACACACCTTCTTCCTCCTATTTTCCACAACAACCCTGTGAGGTGGGTTGAACTGAGAGGGAGTGACTGGATCAGTCACCCAGCTGGCTTTCATGGCTAAGGCGGGATTAGAACTCATAGTCTCCTAATGATTGGCCTATCATCTTCCAGAATGGCTTTCATGGCCAAGACGGGACTTGAACTCATGGTCTCTGGCTTTCTAGCTTGGTGCCTAGACCAAACTGGCTCTCTGAGCTAGAAAAGATTTCATAGTTCATCATGCCACCAAGGCTCAGCAGACTAAAGTGCTGCTAAGTAGCACCAGCTGCCTGCAATTACTGCGAGTTCAAATCTCACCAGGCTCAAGGTTGACTCAGCCTTCCATCCTTTCGAGGTAGGTAAAATGAGGACCCAAATTGTGGGGGCAATAAGCTGACTTTGTATAAAAAAGAACACCGCTTGGGGGGCCCCAAAAGCCCTACTAAGCAGGTATATACAAAAGTATGAAGGCTATTGCTTAACGCATTGTAAGCTGCCCTGAGTCTCCGGAGAAGGGCGGCATATAAATCAAATAAATAAATAAATAAATAAATAAATAAATAAATAAATAAATAAATAAATAAATAAATAACCATGTCTAATTGTCTTATGGGAATGTAGTGTTAAAGGAATTGATTAACCATTAAAGATATTCTTAAGATTATATCTTTGTAAGCGGGTTATGCAAACATTTTTACTACCGGTTCTGTGGGTGTGGCTTGGTGGGCGTGGCATGCCTTGGTGGGCATGGCAGGGGAAGGATACTGTAAAGTCTCCATTTCCACCCCACTCCAGGGGAAGGTTACTGCAAAATCCTGGAGACTTGAGGAAAGCCTCTGGAGCCTGGGGAGGCAAAAAACGGGCCTCCCGGAAGTTCCAGAAGTCTGGAAACAGGCCCATTTCCGGCCTCCGGAGGGCCTCCGGAGCCCGGGGGAGGCTGTTTTCACCCTTCTGGAAGCTCAAGAAAAGATTCCGGAGCTTGGGGAGGGCGAAAACGTCCTCCCCTGCCATGATTCAGAAGGCCAAGTAGGCCACGCCCACCTTGGCCACGCCCACCCAGCAACAGGACAAAGAACCGGTTGCTAAAATTTTCAAATCCCATCTATGTCTAACTGGCTACCTGACTGTCAAAATCCTCTCTCTTCTCTCAGTCCCAGGTCCTTCGCTGTATTTGAACTAAAGATTGATGCTTTAAAATACAAACAAAAAAAACGACAAATATACATATATGCCACCTGTCAACTTGCAAAGCTTTCAAGTTGCCATGAGCAGGAGGGAGGGAGAACTGAAGTGAATTCCATACATTCTTTCTGACCGCAATCAGAAGGAGGGTGTTAGGTTTCACAGCCAGCCAAAGTGGTTAATTGGAGAATGTGATTTATGACATGGCCAGAGAGGAGGGGAGAGACAGGGTCATAGGGGAACGTAAATCTACGTGGGATCAGTCCTGACTGCATCCCAGTATTGCCGGAATGTTGCTCCTAATAAATGACTATATTTCCTTTGAAATTTGGATCATGGCTCATGAATTAATTAGGGCATCTTTCGGAAACTTGTCACCACCCTTGCATTTCTGCCTGAGAAAATCAACCCGTCCACTTTCTAAAAAATAAGAAAGATGCATGTTTTATGGAATGTGAGGGGGGGGAGTATATTCCATAATACACACTCATACATACATATCTTTAATTCAAAAAAACATATTGTCACCAGAAAAGAAAAAAAAATATTAGAAATTTATATCACAGGGCTACAAGAATCAAATCATAAGCACGTTCACACAATCAGATTTTCTTTCTTTTCAAAAAAAAACCAATTTCAAAAGCACTTATAAGAAAAAAAAGGAAGGCATAAACAAATGGTGCTGCTTCAAACGATTAACCGAGATCCAGGGATATATTTACTGTCTGTCCATATCTTGTTTTCCCCGAATTTGTTCAGGCCTTTCTTGCACTGGTAACAACGACGATATCTTGCACACTGATCCAGGAGCATAAGTTTGTCTCCAGCCCTGCAGTTCAAGAAGAGAGAAATGTTTTGTTTTTTTTTTTTAAAAACATCTTGGGAAGAAAGACCAACAATTCGCTTTTTTTCAAAGGCTTCTTTGTCAAGGATCAAGGAAACCTTGGAGAGTCAAGCAGTTCAAACGAGTATAAAGATTTATTGCAAGGTTAAAGCTCTCTACAAGAATCTAAGCTACTAACAGTCAAGGCAATTGAGCGGGAGATAAGAAAGACTAATCAACTACAAACGTGTGTTCTGGCCAGGGGTGAAATCCAGCAGGTTCTGACAGGTTCTGGAAAACTGGTAGTGGAAATTTTGAGTAGTTCGGAGAACCAGAAAATACCACCTCTGGCTGCTCCCAGACTGGGGTGGGAATGGAGATTTTGCAATATCTTTCCCCCTGGAGTGGGGTGGGAATGGAGATTTTGCAGTATCCTTCCCCTGCCACGCTCACTAGGCCACGCCCACGAAACCACACCAGGCCCACCAGGCCGCGCCCACAGAACCGGTAGTAAAAAAAATTGGATTTCACGACTGGTTCTGGCCTATTGTACACTTTACCATTCCAGCTACTAAGTTCAATATCCTAACAGATTTTATGGCGCTTGTGCAAAAATTTTCCCCCATAAGGTATTTGTGTTGACTGTCTATAGAAGGAAGGTGACAAGGGCCAAATAGCATCCTTCCCCACTTACATCTTACCAGCTCAGAAATCCAAGGATTTGTCCCAGATTTCCAACTTTGAGTCAAAGATGGGAGGTTCTCCAGATCAGGGGTCCCCCAACTCCTGGGCTGTGGGCCACTCTTGAGCCGTGAGCCATTTGGAACTGGGCTGCAGAAGCGGTGATTGAGCATGCATGCAAATGGAGTTGCATGTGTGAATGCACTTGGCCATTGCTTGCGTGGAACTATCCTTTCTCCCCACCACCCACCACCGGTCTGCAAAGCCAGAAAGGTTAGAGCACTCTGCTCTAGATGGTGTTGTTGTGGCCCGCCAGCAGCCAGCGGATCTGGCAGCAGATTCAGACAATGACGAGGTTGGGGAGGAACATGGGCCAATCTTGGAGTCTGGGGAAGGCTCTGACGAGTGCTCTGCATCGGAGGCAGAGATGGGGCCAGGGCCATCTGACAGTTGTCAGCTGCCTTTGGAGTTGGACATCAGTGGGGCAGAAGAACAGCTGGGGCCTGTTCCCAGTGTGCGCATGCGCAGAGCTGCCAGGAGAAGGGAACAGCTAAGGAACAAGGGTCAACTCAGGAGTAAAGCCACAGGTGGATGATGAATGGCCCCTCCCAGAGGGAATAAAAGAGGAGCGAAAGGGGAGTGGAGTTTGCAGGAGACAATTAGTTCATTCCTGCATTCTTGCCAAGTATTGTCGGTTGCAGTGTGGAGTCTGAAAGATATCGGCCTGGCCACTCTCCAAGCCTGATAAAGGTCGGTAATTGTGAACTATCTTGAAAGACTGTGGGAGAGGAAAGACTTTGCTGGAGAGGAATTCACTGTAAATTAAATAAAAGGGGGTTTATCGGGACGAGGACTCGGCTTCCTGCTGCTGGGGAAGCCTAGGTCAGACCAGACGGATGCTCACCGCTGGAAGAGCTTCTCCTCGTAATCTCGCTGTCGCTTCAGCCCTGCGCTTTTCCGCCAGTCCTCTTGAATAGCCAAGTTCATCTGGAAGAGCCTCTCCATTCGCTCACCCTTCTCCACCATCCACCTAGAAGAATATCAAAAGGGTTTTAAGGCAAGGAGAATTACAGGTAGTCCTCGACTTAACAACCGTTCGTTTAGTGACCGTTCGAAGTTACAACGGCACTGAAAAAAATGAGCCATGACCATTTTTCATGCTTACGACCATTGCAGCATCTCCCATGGTCACATGATCAAAAATTCAAATCCTTGGCAAACTGGTTCAAATTTATGACCGTGGCAGTGTCCTATGGGCCATGTGATCCCCTTTGGCAAACTTCTGACAAGCGAAGTCAAAAGGGGAGCCAGATTCACTTAACAACCATGCTACTCACTTAACAATTGCAGTGATTCACTTAACCATTGTGGCAAGAAAGGTTGTAAAACGGGGCAAAATTCACTTAACAAATTCCTCACTTAGCAACAGAAATTTTAGGCTCAATTGTGATCGTAAGCCAAAGACTATCTGTAGGTCCATCCGTGTCCTGCTGTCATGATTCTCTGTATCGCCTTTTTGCCTACTTCTGTTCTGCCCCAGCTACGGATCCCTAAGAACACAGCACACACAAACTCTTCTTTGGGGCAGACTCTTAGATATTGTAACACTAGATATTGTAACCCTGAAATTTTTTTTTCTAAACTAGACATACCCAATTCCTGCAAGCAGTCTTCATATGTTTTAGTCTTCTAATTATCTTGGTTGCTCTACTCTGCACTCTTTCCAGAGTCTCAACATCTTTTTTTTTAATGTCACGGCGACCAAAACTGGGTGCAATATTCCAAGTAGGAGCCTTGGTAGTACAGTGGTTTAAAGCACCCTGTTATTAAGACCAGCTGCCTGCAATTACTGCAGGTTCAAATCTCGCCAGGCTCAAGGTTGACTCAGCCTTCCATCCTTTCTAAGGTAGGTAAATTGAGGACCCAGTTTGTGGGAGCAATAAGCTGACTTTGTATAAATATACAAAAGGATGAAGGCTATTGCTTAGCACATTGTAAGCCGCCCTGAGTCTCCGGAGAAGGGCGGCATATAAATCAAAAAAAATTTTTTTAAAAAAAGTGTGGCCTTACCAAGGCATTATAAAGTGGTATTAACCCTTGACAGTTTCCATCTTACTTGTTTCTTTGGCCACCTAATGAAGAAGGAAGGACTCACTGGAGAAGAGCCTAATGCTGGGAACGATGGAGGGCAAAAGAAGACGGGGACGACAGAGAACGAAGTGGCTGGATGGAGTCACTGAAGCAGTCGGCGTGAGCTTAAATGGACTCCAGAGGATGGTAGAGGACAGGAAGGCCTGAAGGAACGTTGTCCGTGGGATCGCGATGGGTCGGACATGACTTTGCAACTAATAACAACAACCATCTTACTGTTTCTTAGCTCTTTGAATCATGTCGGTAGCCCTCCTCTGATCCACCAGCTGGTTAAGAATGGCCGTCCTCTTACGGTCTGCGACGGCCTGCAACTGATACTTGGAATATTCCCGAGCACGTTTCTTTCTCTCCTCCATTTTCTCTTCACTCATGTCGTTCTTCCCAAAAATGACCTCCGTTGAATTAGGCACATACTCAGGCAAGGGAGCCGGCCTTAATTTTATCTGGGTACAAAAAAAGGAGAGGGAGTTTAAATCAAAAAAAGACACTTTGCTCCCAGCAATTCATTCTTAGGAAGGCTGTTTTCTGCAAAGGTAGTCCTCAAGTTATGACCACAATCGAGCCCCAAATTTCTGTTGCTAAGTGAGACATTTGTTAAATGAATGTTGCCCCATTTTATGGCCCTTCTTGCCCTAAGAATAACCGAACCACTGCAGTTGCTAAGTCAGTAACGCGGTTGTTAAGTGAATCTGGCTTCCCAATTGACTTTGCTGGTCAGAATGACGCAAAACGAGATCACATGACCCCGGGACACTGCAACCGTCGTATATACATGCCGGTTGTTAAGCAGTTGAATTTTGATCACATGACCACGGGGATGCTGTAATGGTCATAAGTGTGAAAAACAGTCATAAGTTACTTTTTTCAGTGCCACTGTAACTTCAGTCACTAAACAAATTGTTATACATCGAGGACTCCCTGTATACATCTTTTTCTCCCTGCCCAGAATCCTTGTGGAATGAAGTAGACCAGGAGTGTCAAACTCGATTTCATTGAGGGCCGCATCAGGGTTGTTTTTTACCTCAGGGGGGGCAGGAGGGGCGTGGGCAGGGGGGGACATGGCTAGCATGACATCATACATGTCAGGGGGGTGCCTATGGTGGCCTGAGTGCCCTGCCAGCGAAAATGGGCTCCCGGGGCCTCCTGCAACCATCTGCCAGCAAAAACGGAGCTCAGGAGGGCCGCACGCAACCCTCGCGAGCTCCGTTTCCACTGGCAGAGGCACAGCGGGTCGGTCCTTCGCTGATTCCAAGGTGGCCTCGCAGTCCAGATCTAAACACCCCATGAACCAGATGCAGCCCCCGGGCCTTGAGTTTGACACCGCTGAAGTAGCTATAAATATTGGAAATAAATAGATAAGCCACCACAAAGTTGCCGTCCCAGACATCTGGAAAACACAAGGCTGATGATTGTATTACAGATATCTTTACAAAGTAAAAACATCCCCATTTTAAAATCAAGCACTTAAATAAGAACATGAAAAACGGAGAGAAGGGAAGGTTGGTTTTGCGTAGCGAATATTATGATCTTAAGCAAAATAATTAAAACAAAAGCAGGGGTGGGCTGCTGGGGGTTTGCAGGGGTTCGGGAGAACCTCTAGCTAAGATTCTGTGCAGTTTGGAGAACCCCCAAATCCCACTCCTGGCTGGCCCCGCCCACCCCACCCCGCCCCTCCCAGGAGTCCCCACACGGTCCATTTTGGATGCAGGTAAGTGCAGGGCATGTGCGGAGGCTTGGGGAGGGCAAAGAACAGGCCTACCGGAAGTTCAGGAAGGCCAGAAACGGGCCCATTTCCAGCCTCCAGAGGGCCTCCGGAGCCTGGGGAGGTCATTTTCGCCCTCCCGGAGGCTCAAGGAAAGCCTCCAGAGCCTGGAGAGGGCAAAAATGCCCCCCCCCCCTGGTGCAGGAGGCCGACTAGGCCACACCCACCATGGCCACACCCACCCAGCAACCGGGCAGAGAATCCCTTGCTAAAATTTTTGAAGCCCACCCCTGCTTTAAGTCTAGCAGTGTCTACTTCCAGACAAACTCAGTTTGGATTACATTGTACTCTTACACCAATGTAATGCCTGCAAATATTCTGATTGTACAGGTCAAAACAGGCTTCGAAAGAGTTTTAAGATCATCTGCCTCCTCTTTTACTACTACTGACAGTCTGAACATCTGGGCTGGATCGTGATGGGGCTTCCTTCCAAGATTTGCTAATTAAATTTCCGAGAATTAATTCATCAGCTAGTCTTACCCTCAGAGTCCGCATCCTTCTTGGTTCCACTCTAAAGGAACTTTTAATTAGCAATGGTAAACCTATACAGGTAGTCCTTGACTTACAATGACAACCGAGCCCAAAATTTCTGTGGCTAAGTGAGACATTTGATAAGTGAGTTTTGCCTTTTACGACCTTCCTTGCCGCATTTGTTAAGTGAATCACTGCAGTTAAGTTAGTAATATGGTTATTAAGTGAACCTGGTTGATTTTGCGTGTCAGAAAGTCGCAAGAGAGGATCCCGGGACATTTGAAACCATCATAAATAGGAGTCAATTGCATCTGAATGTTGATCATGTGATGCTGGAGATGCTGCAGTGGTTCTAAGCGTGAAAAATGATCATAAGTCACTTTTTTCAGTGCCATTTGAATGGTCATGAAATGAACTGTTATAAATCAAGGACAACCTGTGTTTGTTCAATAAACAAGAGATGCCAAACAAACAATGAAGTTTGAATGCTCTGATAAATTATTATTTTTTTCTTTACATTCCACATTTAATCTTCAGTTTTGTTGTGTTTCCTAAAGGGGAACATCCAATCAGGAGTGAAATGCTCCCGGTTTGGACCGGAGTGAATGGCAACGGGTGGTTCGGAGAACTGGTAGCAAAAATCCCTGCGCCTTCCCCCACCATGCCCAGCTGAGCCGCACGATCATCAGAGGCTTTTTTTTTTTACTTTTAAAAGCATTTTTTCTACAACCTCTTCCGACGAAAAAATGCTTTTAAAAGTTAAAAAAAAAGCCTCTGATGATCACGCGACTCAGCTGGGATCATCAGAGGCTTTTCAAAGCATTTTTTTCTGCAACCTCTTGGCCGAAGAGTTGGTAAAAAAAATGCTTTGAAAAGTCTCTGACGATCCCAGCTGAGTTGCCTGATCGGCAGAGAGGCTTTTCAAAGCATTTTTTAAAAAGCCTCTTTGACAATCCCACCTGAGTTGCCTGATCGGCAGAGGCTTTTCAAAGCGTTAGAAAAAATGCTTTGAAAAGTTAAAAAAAAAGAAAAAAGTTGGCCACGCCCACCCAGTCACATTACCCCACCAAGCCACGCCCACAGAACCAGTAGTAATAAATTTTACATTTCACCCCTGCATCCAACCACTTTGTCTTCAGCTGCACAACTTATAACTGATCGTGAATTGTCAGTTATTGCTGTTATGATTCACTCTTAGGCTGTGTTGCTACAGTTGCTTGTGTGTCTGTCTGTCTCTGTGTGTGTGTGTGTGTGTGTGTGTGTGTGTGTCAGTAGCGGGTTTCAAAACCCATCGCTACCAGTTCGCTCACACGCATGCATGCATGATGCTTCTACACATGCACAGAAGCATCCAGGTGAATGGGCGAAGCCTCCCACCACCGCCGCTACCAGTTCGCCAGACCCAGGATGAACCGGTAGCAACCCACGACTGGTGTGTGTGTGTTAGAAAAGAGACTTCCTTTCATGATCACAAACTCATACACACTTGTTCTAGGTTGAAACTGCTTGTGTTTGTGCCTGGTGGCTCAGCAGACTGATAGCATTGTGATTAACACCAGCTGTCTGCAATTACTGTAAGTTCGAATCTCACCAGGCTCAAGGTTGACTCAGCCTTCCATCCTTTCTAAGGTAGGTAAATTGAGGACCCAATTTGTGGGGGCAATAAGCTGACTGTATAAAATATACAAAAGTATGAAGGCTATTGCTTAACGTATTGTAAGCCGCCCTGAGTCTCCAGAGAAGGGCGGCATATATATCAAATTAAAAAAAAAAAAATTACCTGTGTATCAAGGGCCGTCTTGTAAATTTGGTTTTCTTCCAGCTTCTCTCTTAAATACTTTGCTCTTTGGGCAACTAATCTAGAAAAGTAGACAGAAGACTAGGAATCAGCCAGTATGATTTCACAGATTTAGTCCTGGATGGTCATCAACATAGTATGACATCTTGTTTGATTTGATTTTTAGGTTAGTCATCACTGACTCAGCAGGTACTGTATCTAAAGCAAGTGGATTAGGATTGGGCTGCCCAAAACTATAGCATTTCCCTTGGATCTTGAAAGCCCCAGTTATGTTGACAGCTGAGCTCCTACAGGTAAATCTGATTTAGTGAGTGTGTTGGTGATGACAATTTGGTCCTTAAGCAAAGCAGTCACTAAGTGAAAAAGCATATGAATGCAATTGTGCTGACAATTTTACATTGGCTTCAGAATATGACCCCAAATATCTGGGTGAGCCTAAATGGTGGAGAAGATTTCTAGAACTCAACTCATAAGAACACTGGGTAAAAGGGCAACTCTTTTAGTCCTTTTTCCCCAATTCCCCCACCCTTTTGAATACTCACCCCAGTGCTGGGATAATTAGCAAGAAGATAAATATCTACTATTCTTATATAAGATTTGTATTATATTCATTGGAGAAAAAGGGATCATAAGAGAATAAGATGACACACAATGGAGAATACACTTTGAAAGGAATGCCCTGTTCCCTATTATGAACTGCTTAGGGGGGGTCAGGGAGAAAGGTGTCAGTGTAAAACTGATTAGAGTCTTGTCTATTTTAGGCAGCAGCTGTGAGCCACCCAGCATTCTAAACAATTAAATATGTCACAGAGCTGAGTTTGTTAACTTGGGGTTAGCATTTTTAGGGAACTGCTGGAGGAAAGCAACTCAGAAAGAAATAGTTTGTTTAGGCAATTTCTCCACTCATGAGGTGTGAAAAAGAAAAAAAAATGGACCGATATGTAGTAAAAGAAGTGTAATGGCAAAAACATGACTGAAAGAGAAAGGTACTATAAAGGCTGTAAACTTTAATATAGGACAGTGATGGCAAACCTTTAGTTTGGACCTTTAAAGTGTCCAAACTGTGTGTGCACATGCCCAAAACTGAGGGACATGCACGAACATGCATATGCGCAGACATGTGTGAATGAGCACATGCGCAGACGTGGACATGCATGGACATGCGCACATGCACAGCAGAGACCCGAAGACCAGCTGGCCAGTGGGAGGCGGGGGAATCCCAACACCGGCAGCGTGGCAAGAGGTAAGATCTTTTTCTTTCGTGAGCTTCTGTTTCGTTTGCAGAGAAACAGAAGCTCACGAACGAAACGCCACGGAGATCTGACCTGGGGCGAGGGCGCACGTACCAGCAGAGAAGGCTCTGCGTGCCAACTCTAGCACACGTGAGCCTTGGTGGTGCAGCGGACTAAAGTGCTGTTAAGTAGCACTTAGCTGCCAGCTGCCTGCAATTACTGCGAGTTCAAATCTCACCAGGCTCAAGGTTGACTCAGCCTTCCATCCTTCCAAGGTAGGTAAAATGAGGACCCGGATTGTGGGGGCAATAAGCTGACTTTGTATAAAAAAGAACACCGCTTAGGGGGGGGCCAAAAGCCCTACTAAGCAGGTATGTACAAAAGTATGAAGGCTATTGCTTAACGCATTGTAAGCCGCCCTGAGTCTCCGGAGAAGGGCGGCATATAAATCGAACCAATAAATAAATAAATAAATAAATAAACAAACAAACAAACAAACAAACAAACAAATAAATAAATAAATAAATAAATAAATAAATAAATAAATAAATAGGTTCGCCATCATGGATGTGTATTCCATGATAGAGCTCAGGTTTTGATGCAACACTGTGATTAAACTATACTCTGAATCTGCAGTCAAAAGCAACATGAGAATACATGTAAGGAAGAAGTTGAGTGAAAGAAGCTTCCTAAACTCTAGATCCCTCTGAATGAGTCTGCTTATAACTCCCATCATTCTCATCTGGTTGAGAATAAGGGTAGTCAAATATATCTACAATATTCCAAACTTTTAGTAGGGTTAATCTAAACAATTCAACTGTGAAAATCTGAATCTGAATCACCAGCACTTCCAACCAGGTGACTCTGTGGATTCTGTAGGACTTTCAGATTCATAATTATGACCATTAGAAGGCTGGGGAAAGAGGCATTTAAAACATGGAATCATCAATAAATACTGAAGGAGACCAACTTCTCCCAAAGGTCTCACTCTTCTGCCAGTTGAACTTGCTGCAAGCGGTCAATGAAGTCCTGTTCCTGTTTTTGCTTTGCGTCTCTGGCTCTCCTGCACTCCAGCTGCTTATCCAAATGCTGGGCATATTCCTCTTGTTTCTCATGAGGGGTAGAACTGGGCGGCCTCTTCTCAAATATGAAGGACCTCTGAAAAGAAGCACAAACCTTTACATGAATAAAAGCAACATTTGAATAGGGGCAGTGGTGGGATCCTATCGGTTTAACAACCAGTTCGGTGATTGCGCAATTGAACAAAAAAATCACCTTCCGCATTAGTGTTAGGAATTAAAACAGTTGAAACGCAGCAATCCGCTCTGCTGTGCTAATCAGCTGTGAAGATATATCGGAGCTACCGGTTCACACGAACCGGTCCGAACCGGTAGAATCCCACCCCTGAATAGGGGGTGTTTATCAAGACAGGGAGTGTGTGCTATCTGATGCTCCTAGAACATAAAATCATAGAGTTGGAAGGGACCTTGGAGGTCTTCTAATCCAATCCCATATCCATGGTAGGAGATCCTATACTATTCAGGACAAATGGCTGTCCGGTCTCTTCTTGAAAACCTCCAGGGATGGAGCAATCGTAACACTAGGAGGCAAGCAAATCCATCGATTGATTAATTGTTCTCACTGTCAGAAAATTTGTTCTTACCTCTAGCTTAGATGTCTCTTTAACAAGTTTCCACCCATTATTTCTTGTCCTGCCCTCTGGTGCTTTGGAGAATAGATCAATCTCCTCTTTTCTCTGACTGTCCCTCAAGTACTGGAAGAGTGCTATCATAACATCCCTAGTTCTTCTCTTCAATTGTCTAGACCAGGGGTGTCAAACTCAAGGTCCAGGGAGCGGATCCAGCCCGCGGGGTGCTTAGATCCAGCCTGTGGGGTCGCCCTGGACACAACACATGGCATCGGGCCTAGCTATCTTCGAGACCGCCTGCTGCTACCAATAACCTCCCATCGTCCTGTGCGCTCCCACAGAGAGGGCCTCCTCAGGGTGCCATCAGCCAATCAATGTAGGCTGGTGACCCCCAGGGGGAGGGCCTTCTCTGTGGGGGCACCTACCCTCTGGAATCAGTTGCCCCCAGAGATAAGGAGAATCCAAGACCTTAGTGCCTTCCGCCGTGCCCTTAAAACCCACTTTTTCCAGCAAGCCGGGCTGGCTTAAGAAGAAATTTTTAAATGTTTTAATTGGTTTGTATTTTTAATTTTGGGCCAAATTTATATATATTTTAATTGTTTTTTAATATTTGTATTTTATGTTTTTTAATTCTGGCTGTACACCGCCCTGAGTCCGCAGGGAGAAGGGCGGTATATAAATTTAAAATAAAATAAAAAACAAAATAAAAAACAAAGGACTGGCCTGCGGTTCCTCTGCCAGCGAAAACACGACCACATGTGGCCGTTTACACTGTTGGAGGGTTGCAGGAGGCCATCATGGCTGAAAACGGAGCTCGGGGGTCTGTTTTCTCTAGTAGAGCACTGAGGCCACCATAGGCACCCCAACACAAGTGACGTTGAGCTGTCCACACGTACCCTGGCCATGCCCACTCCGCCCCCCCCCCAAGGTCAAACACAACCCTGATGTGGCCTTTAATGAAATTAAGTTTGACACCCTGGTCTACAGTGGTGTATTAACCATTAAGCAGACTAAGCATGTGCCTAGGGCACCAGGCCCAAAGGGGGCACCACGAAGTTGAGAAAGAAAAAAAAAACCAATGAAGATTTGTAAAAAACAAAGGAGGGGGGCACCAAGATTTGTCAGTGTTTAGGGCACCAGTGAGCCTTAATCCACCACTGCTGGTCTAGACACACCTAGGTTCCTCAACCGTTCGTCATACAATTGAGATCATGGGACTCGTAGTCCGACAGATCCAAAAAGCCTAGATAGAGAAAAGGGCAACGTATAGTTTTGCAGAGGATGGGAATGGGAGGTCTTACAAAAGGTTCAGCCAGCTTCTCGTTCTTCTGTTTCCGCATGGCTTCCGCTATGCCCAAGTTATAAGATGCCACTTTCTGGTTCTGCTCACGCGATGCCGCCATTTTCATCTGTAGTTTGGAAAAAGAATTAAATGTTTTTTGAGCAGGAAACGATGGAAAAAAAAGAGATGAACCGGACCAAATTGGAGAAACCACGATTCAGAATCAATAATGTCCCATGCTCTGTAAATGGTACATATCACTCTTGGAAACATCTTCTATACAGATAGTCCTCAACTTAGCACAAGGGTCAGCAACCTGCAGCTCTGGAGCCGCATGTGGCTCTTTCACCCCTCTGCTGCAGCTCCCTGTCACTCAAAATATGCGTCACAACCGCCAATGTGCGACACCCGCCAGCCCGCGATTTATTGAGCTTTTCAACCCCCGGTAGGCCGACCATGGATAAATCCAAGAAAAGAAAATGTTCAGAAGAAAACAGAACATTTAATTCAACGACATATGCTAGTTTTGTGGCCGCTCAAGAAATAGTCAGGCCCAGGAAGGGTTTTGTGGCTCCCGGTGTTTTCTTTTCTGTGGGAAATGGGTCCAAATGGCTCTTTGAGTGTTTAAGGTTCCAGACCCCTGACTTAGCAACATAAATTTTGGGTTCAGTTGTGGTTGTAAGTGAGGCATTTGTTAAAGTGAGTTTTGCCCCATTTTGCAACCTTTCTTGCCATAGTTGTTAAGTTAGTAACACAGTTGATAAGTGAATCTGACTTCCCCATTGACTTTCCTTGTCAGGGGGTTGCAAAAGGGGATGACGTGACCCCGGGACACTGTAACCGTCATAAATATGAGTCAGTTGCCAAGTGTCTGAATTTTGATCATGTGACCTTGGGGATGTTGCAATGGTCATAAGTGTGAAAAACACTTACAAATCACTTTTTTTTCAGTGCCATTGTAACTTTGTACCATCACTAAACGAACTGCTGAACGTCAAGGACTATCTATAGCTGTGATGGCACTTCCAGCACATGTGCTGGAAGTGGCACATAGAGCCATCTCTCCAGACACATGAGCTGTCGCCCGTTGCTCTTCGAGGATCCCGCATGCCAGCCAGCTGGTCTTCGTATGTGCATGCACATGCGCACCAAAAACCGGAAGACCAGGTGGTCGGTGCGCATGCGCAAACCAGAAACCAGAAGAGGATCTTCCCAGCGTGCATATGCACAGCGGGCGGCTGCTCTTCCAGTTTACGGCATGCGCGCACGTGCCTTTCCCCTCCATTTTGGCACTAGGTGCCGAAAAGGTTCACCAACACTGATCTATAGTCACTAGAACTACAGGAATACCCAAAGATATCATTCCAAATGCTTCCACGAAGCCAGGACTATTAGAAAAAATAATAATTTGGGGATTCTCCTTTGGCAGAGAACTCTTCCACTTGACTTCAGACAACTCATTCAGTCACATGAACGAATACTGACAGACCTGGGGATTAGGAAGGGAAGAAACAGGAACATGTGAATTCGTCATGAGTGAAATGAACATGGCCCTTCTCGTCCCAAAAGTCCTGCTTTTCTAGAACGAAAGCACAAAAATCAATTTTTTTTTCAGTCCTAATACCAGTTCCTTCTGAAGGGCTTCGTGATCTTTTATGGCTTGATACTGGGCCAGGATGCAGTCTTCCTCTTTTTCCTTCCTCCTTTGTTCGTCACCCAAGTAGACAGGGATATTCCTCTGAGCACGCTGCATGCATACGTAGCACATCTCCTGCAGGTACACAAGGCAAAGAATATACCGTAACCTCTATACCTGACTGCTGCCTCCCTATTCTAATTCTTCAGCAGAGGGCAAATCAGATGTGGGCTGCTGGGGGTTCGCAGGGGTCCCCGAGAACCTCTAGCTAAGATTCTGTGCAGTTCGGAGAACCCCCAAATCCCACTCCTGGCTGGCCCCGCCCCGCCCACCCCACCCTGCCCCTCCCAGGAGTCCCCACGTGGCCCATATTAGATGCAGGTAAGTGCAGGTTGTGCACGGAGGCTCGGGGAGGGCAAAAAACAGACCTACCAGAAGTTCAGGAAGGCCTCCAGAGGACCTGCGGAGCCTGGGGAGGTCATTTTCACCCTCTCGGAGGCTTGAGAAAAGCCTCTGGAGGCTGGGGAGGGCAAAAACGCACACACCCCCGCCGTGGTGCAGGAGGCCATCTCGGCCACGCCCACCATGGCCACGCCTACCCAGCAACCAGGCAGAGAACCCCTTTGCTAAAATTTTTGAAGCCCACCCCTGGGGCAAATCCCTTGTTTCACAAATGTGTAAGAAAATCTAATTGATCGATCAAAATCCACCTAAATGCAATTTAGAACTTTTTGTTTTTGTTTTTACTTGCATCTGATTGTATGCCTAAATGAAGGGCCGATTAGTCAGAATAGGCTACCTGTAGAGCAGGAGTGTCAAACTTGATTTCATTGAGGGCTCCATCAGGATTGTATTGGATTTCAGCGGGGCCGGGAGGGGCATGGTTGGGATGAGCATGGCCAGGATGAGCATGGCCAACTCGACATCACTTGTGTTGGGGGCACCTGTGGCGGCCCAAGTGGGCCTGGGGGGGGATCCATTGTCTCCAGTGGAGGAAGGCAAGGCCAAACCCTTGTCCTCCAGAGGAGCCTCGCCATCCCTCTCAGGCCACGTGAAGGACCCCCAGGTGGTGGCACAGGCTGTCCAGAGCCCTAGGCAGCAAAGCGCCCAGCACGGCCCTCCCAAGCTCCGTTTTCCCTGGCAGAGGCACCATGGGTCAGTCCTGTGCTGTTTCCAGGGCAGCCCTGCAGGCCAGATCTAAGCACCCCACAGGCCAGATCTGGCCTGGAGGCCTTGAGTTTGACATCCGTGCTGTAGAGGGAATGGTGTTGAAAGACAGGAGAAAGAGCCAATACCGAGGCTATAATTAGATAAGCGGGGCTTGAGCTCAGACCAAGAAAATCAGTGAGGGAAGGGAAAACATATTTAAAGTTGCAAAATTCTGTTACTATCTGTTATAATACAAATAGTCTTGGTTTATAGGGCACTGGTTTCTTAATCTGGACTGACATGATATCTATAGGAAGAGAGAAAACTGACAGTTTCTGATCTATAAACAATAAAAAGAAACCCTCAGTGCTATATGTAAATCACCCCCATGAGAAGACCAGGTTATTCTATCCATTTTTTCCATATAAATACTGTGTGACAAGTGGGTCTACATATCAGGATTGGGAGATGGTGAGTTCTAGTCCTGCTTTAGATATAATAGCTAGTTGGGGGACTTGGGCCAATCATCAAGAGATGATGATTTTAGTCCCGCCTTAGGCATGAAAGCTGACTGAGTGACCGTGTGCCAATCACCAGGAGATGGTGAGTTCTAGTTCTCCCTTAGGCATGAAGGCCAGTTGGGTGTCTTTGGGCCAATCCCTAGGAGATGGTGAGTTCTAGTCCCACTTTAGGCATGAAAGCCAGCTGGGTGACTTTGGGCCAATCCCCAGGAGATGGTGAGTTCTAGTTCCACTTTAGGCATGAAGGCCAGCTGGATGACTTTGGGCCAATCCCCAGGAGATGGTGAGTTCTAGTTCCACCTTAGGCATGAAGGCCAACTGGGTGACTTTGGGCCAATCCCCAGGAGATGGTGAGTTCTAGTTCCACCTTAGGCATGAAGGCCAGCTGGGTGACTTTGGGACAGTCCCTCTCTCTTAGCTCACCTCACCTCCCAGGGTTGTTATTGTTGGGGAAATAGAAGGAAGGAGGTTTGTTGGATATGTTCACCACCTTGCTTACCAAAATAAAGGAAGGATATTAAATAAAATTGTCTGGAGCTCAGAATCGTCTCTCAATGGCTAAATCAGGGGTGGGTTCTAAATTTTTTTACTACTGGTTCTGTGGGCGTGGGTTATTTTGTGGGTGTGGCTTGGAGGTCATGTGACTAGGTGGGCGTGGCTAGCTGGTCAGAGTCATTTCTGGAAGGTCCTCGCACTTACGACCAGTCCTCGCACTTACGACCCAACTCATTTGTTTGCTTTTAACACTGATCAGCTGTAGGACGGTCCTTTGAAGCTCCGCGGCAAGAGTTTAAACAGTTTTTTTCCCTCTAGTCATCAGCTGGGATTCAGGAGGCAGCAATAGATTGGGGGTGGGACCAAATAAAAGGTAAGAATAATGTGGGGGGGGAGGGCGGGGGGAGAACTGGTTCGGTGACGTCATATCGTCACCGCTACCAGCTTGGCCGAACCGGACCGAACCAGGAGGAACCCACCACTGGGCTAAATACTTGTAGGGAATGGTGGGCCAAGAGCCAAGCATGGCCAAGGGATCACCAGCCGCCCAGTTCTACCTAGTAGCAAACATCATTTCCAGAGTTCTTAGAACCAACCGCACAAAGCTACTGTATAGCTAAAAATACAAAATGAACTACATCTGATACCTGTCCTGCCCTACCATGCACATCACAAATTGGAGATGAAGTCTGCGATCTGGATGCAGGAGTTTGGGTACGGCTCACTTCCTGTTCTGTCTTCAAGGCATCCGGAATGGGCGTTGGTTGCCTGCAGAACGCAATAGACAGTGTATGAGTGTGCAACAAAGAGCACAGAGTTTCAAGTTTGCCACTGTTGATGTCGGAGAAGAGCAGGCAGAGCTGGAAGGAGGAGTTAAATGTGTCATCAGTTTAGAGTCTTTGCGTTGCCAAAAGCAACGCCACAACAGACTGTTAGTTGACTAGATTCTTGCGTATAGGTTGGAATAATAAATCCTTTGTGCTTGAATGCAACATATGATCCTGATTCTTTGCACCCGTCATTAATCTAGTCAACTGATGGTCAGCATTAAATCAGTGCTAGATAAGGGTCAACGGAGCTGGATTTGGGTCCCTTGTGGCGACGCAAGGACTCTAAACCGATGATGCATTTAACTCTGCCTTCCACCTTTGTATGCTCTTCTACAGTTCCCTCATGCTACAGGATATTATAGATAGTCCTCGATTTATGACTGGTCATTTAGTGACCATTCAAAGTTATGATAGATCTGGCAGAAGGTATTTACCACTTGGTCCTGAAGTTGTGCTGACTGTCTCCATACCACCACCCAAGGTCACGTGACGATATTTTGGTTTGCTCAGCAACTGGCCTGCACTGACAGACATTGCAGTGACACATTGTCACATGACCACGATGATCTGTCCCAGTACCCACCCACACACACACAAACACAGCCAGCCGAGGGTTAAGGAAACACTTTGGAACGCACCCAGGTCTTATCTCCCACTTGGCAGCGATAGACACACCGTCTGCCAAATGCCTTTATTTTCACAAACAGAAAGATAAGGTACTTAACGTGCAAAAAGTCCAAGCAGAAATAATATTTCTCTCCGCAGTTCCGGATGAGACTTTAGTGACTATCCAAGGTTTACTTTTGTTCGTCACAAGGATCACTGACCACTACCCTCTATTATATAGTCTCTGGGGTGTGGTCCAGTGACTCAGTTCTAATCCCTAGCACGCCTCCTAAGCTGCTGCAAACGTTTATCACGCCTTCGGAGGCGTGGTCCAGGAATTATATTTCTTCGTCACTCTGATCCGAGCCACCTGTCTCCCTACTGATCTCCTCTCCCTCGGCCGGCACCTGAGACAATGCCAGAGGGGAGGGGCCTGGAGAGGGAGGCCTGGCTGACTCCTCTTCCTCATGCTTGGAGCTTTCTTCCTCCGATGGGACAGGCTCAGAGGGCGGGGCCACAACACACGATTGACAACACTTGTTCCAGAAGCTGGCTTTTACTTCTTGCCCATAGCCCTGTTGTGATCTAGGCTTCTTGAGTCATTAAAACACACAAGTAGTCCCAAAAACCTCTTTTATTGCAACAGCTGTGAATTAGCCAGGTAAGTACAGGGCTCGCACGGAGTCTTGGGGAGGGCGAAAACGGGCCGTTTCTGGCCTCGGAGAGCCTCCAGAGGGCCGGGGAAGGCCGTTTTCACCCTCCCAGAGGCTCCAGGAAAGCCTTCGGAGCTTGGGGAGGGCAAAAAACGGGCTTACCGGAAGTACCGGAAGTTTGGAAATGGGCCGTTTTCGGCCTCCGGAGGCTTCAGGGAGGCCTGCTAGGGAGGCCTTCAGGGAGACCCCGTGCACCCGAGGAAAAAAAGGTTAGCGATCACTGGCATATAGCCATGTTGGCCACATGACCGTGGAAAATGTCTTTGGACAATGCTGGCTTCCTCGGCCAAGAAATGTAGATGAGCACCGTGCCCTACAGCAGGGCATGACTGACAGAGAAACCTTTACCTTTTACCTCCTTTTAGAAAGGTGTGTCTCAAACTAAATACCCAAGTTGCCCCTACATATTGAATGGCGTGCAAGTCAGCTTTTCGGAGATCATTTCCAACAGACAAAAGATCAACAGTTGGCAGGCTCTGTTACTCAAGACGATCCTCTAAAATATTTAAAAGCCAACCGGCACACAAGATATTGGCTCAATAATTGCTTGCAATGAAGAGGAAGGATAGAGTTCAGTTGGACTTCATTAATAATGTTAATCACTATCAAACTTGAATTGAAAAGCAACAAAGGAAAATAAATTATGCAAGGTGAAATCTGTGACTCCAAGCCTTGTCTGTCTGATCAACCAAGATCTGACTTGGATGGCTCAAACCATCAGAGCTAATTATTTTTACAGATTAATATTATTTCCTTACTTTTAAATATACCTCTTCCTGTCTGTTCGCCATCCTAAATAAAATACAATAACGTCAAAATAATGTGACCACCAGGCCAGAAAGGATGAGAAGCAACAGCATCTCCCAGTGCAAGGTTGTTTTCTTTTTTATTATTCAAAAAATTATTAGTTTATCCAACTATGATATAAAATACCAAAGTACAAAAGAAAATATTGGGAAAATAGGGGAGAGAGAAGGGAAGGGAAATGTGTAGGGCAAAGGGAAAAAAGAAAGAAAAAGAATTGACTCCCAATTCTTTAATTAAATTAAAGCAAAAAAAAAAAATCCTTTTGGTGCAGTAGAATAAGATAATAACGTCAAACCTCAACTTTTTAATTTTATATAATAATATAAACTAGCCATTTCTATAACAACAAACCTATCTAATTCTCTGCTAACTCCATCAACTTTTGCAGCCATTCATACATTGTGGGAATTGAAGTATTTTCACCCTCCCCAGGATCCGGAGGCTTTCCTTGAGCCTCCGGGATGGCAAAAATGGTCTCCCCCGGGCTATAGAGGCCTTCCAGAGGCCGGAAACAGGCCAGTTTCTGGACTTCTAGAACTTCTGGAAAGCCTGTTTTTCACCCTCCCCAGGCACCAGAGGCTTTCCCCAAGCCTTCGAGAGGACAAAAACGACCACCCCCGGGCTCTGGAGGCCCTCTGGTGGCCAGAAATGGGCCCATTTCCAGACTTCCAGAATGCATGTGTCGCTGCCTCCACGCTCCCCCTCGTGCGCCCCCCGCACATGCACATGTGACACCCATGCACGCGCACCATCTCCCGCATACGCCCCGCCTCCTGCGCATCCCAAAAATCAGCTGGCCAGCGGGAGGCATGTGCACATGCGCAGGGGACGTGAGCTGGATGACGGCTTGCATGCCCACAGAGAGGGCTCTGTGTGCCAGATGTGGCATACGTGCCATAGGTTCACCATCACAGGACTAGAGCCTAATGACTTTGAGAAGTCTCACTGGTGCCTACAGCAAAAATTCTTTATGTATAGAGATAGAAAGATGCGTCAATCCTTCAACAGAAGAATGGATGGGAAAAGTGATGGAGCTAGCAGAAACGGCAAAATTGACTTTTAATTAGAGGAAATAAGATATCTAGCAATATTTTTTTTAAAAAAGAAAAAAGTCTCACCAATGCTCTCAGATCTAAGATCTCACCTTGAAGAAGAAGGGGGTGGTTTGGGCTTCAGGTTTTTCTCGAGTTCCTCGGTCAAACTGATCCCGCTCACTTTGGCTGGAAAAATTGCTTGGCGGGAGAGAAAACGTTTGGAGAACGTATTTTCTGTAAATAAAGCAGAGGTGATCTGAGAACGTTAGGACACAACTGCAAGTTGTCAATGGAAGAGCTTTCAAGCTAACCATGGATAATGTTCCACCTTTTCTGAGGACCTTCTAGCTCTAAGAAACACAGAGATGAAACAAGGATGAGAACTTGGAGGCCAAAGCAAGCTTTTCTTCCACAGTTTGCCCACAACACCTCTGTATGATTTCCTCTTTTATCCCAGTCTTCTTCCAACCCAACCAGTGCCAAGGTGGCCCACTCTGGAACAGGTGTTTTGGAACTGGGCTACCATTTTAAAATTCAAATATTGTCTGAGTCTCTCAGCATCACTGGTTCTCTTCTAGTGCCAGATATTTCCATCACTCTTCTACAAAAGAGTGTCATTAGAAGGGGACTTCAGGGGCAAACATTTAGGACTCCCTCAACAAAAAGGTGTTCTATAATTAATTACTTTACTATTGTGATAAGGAAGACTTTTAAGTAAAGTAAAGTGACTTTTGTTGTATGGAAACCGTCTGGACTATTTAAATGGAATTGATTAATAACCCTGAGATGTAAAGAGCTATGATTATTGAACTCTTTGATGAGCAAAACTGGAACTGAATATATTGCTTGTGGCCCTGACTAAAAGTGAACTTATGAAACTAAGGGCAAATGAGTGAAACCTCAAGAGAAATGGTGTGGATGTTTCAAAGCATCAGGGATACCATGATAAAGAACTAAAGAGAGATAAAAGACTGACTCCAAGGCATAGGTGACAAAGTTGAAAACATGATACAACTGGCAATGAATGAAGATCAAAGAGTCCAGGAAAGAGAGGAGGCGGCGGAAAGAATGGAGGAAAAGATAGAACAGACAAACCACCAAATAAAACAAGAGGAGGAGAAAAACTTTTTGAGAGATATAAAAGTGGAATTGGAATTGCATAAACTGGAAGATGCTTTTGAAACGGAGATAGGAGTATGGGTGGATACTCTGGAGATATGGCAGCCTAGGAGGATAGAAATAGGAGAAATCCTATTCAGGTGGCTGATTCGCCTGAATGACAATTTTCCAGGAATTCCCTAGCATTTTTGGATTTGAATGGGTTTGGATGCTTACAGTTTCCTAGTCTATCAAGACCAGTACATATTCCCTCCAGTAGACAATACCCAGATAAGCAGGGATTAACACCAGACAAACAGGCAGAAAACAATATCCTAATCATGGAACTACCAAGGAGAAAACCACACACTCTATTAACACTGGCAGGGCAAGTTATAGTATATAAACAGGGTGCAAACCCCCGTCACTAGCTTTGATGATGTTACCTAGTGAGGTAATGAAACAACCGAGTTCAGTGTACCGAGAACATCACTGGGTTACATATATTCTCTTCTAGTGACATTTTATTCTCTTAAGCAGAACAGCATGTTTGGTAACTGAAATACTTCAAATATTTTATTTTTCCTTAAATCTTCCAATAAAAAGAAGAGCACACCAGAAAAGAGATCACTTATTCCTCGCCGCGCATCACAGCCATGATTTAGGTTAGAAATGGTAGAGAATATTCATAGCTTGGGTTGTAGATTTAGGCAAAGATTTGTCCTCTGAGCTTGCTGCTTGGCTCCCAGAGGTAACATCTTTGGGGAGGGGTTGGGTGAAGTGTCTTGTTTGTTTATATAGATCCTGGGTGGTTGGCTGGTCTTGGGACATATTGAATCACAAGACTGATTGAATCACAAGGCTGGTTGATTCATAAGACTGGTTCTGGTCTTGTGACTTCTGACTGGTTGCTGTGAGGCGAGGAATTCCACTGGTGAGGGGGAGGTCGACTCTGTCATGGATTAGTAGTTCAGATGGTCTGCTTCCTTATTGGTTCATATGCTAGTTCTAAGTTAAGGTGTTTATTGATTTAGGTTGATGATTTAGGTTTTTCAGAGATTTCACAAGAACTTACTTGATTTTCTCTGCAGCCCAGTTCCAAGCAGATCTCAGAAAAAGAGCATCTACACCAGTGGTGGGTTTCAAAATTTTTACTACCGGTTCTGTGGGTGTGGCTTGGTGGGCGTGGTAGGGGAAGGATACTGTAAAATCTCCATTCTCACCCCACTCCAAGGAAAGGTTACTGCAAAATCCCTATTTCCTCCCGATCAGCTGGGACTTGGGAAGCAGAGAATAGATGGGGGCGGGGCCAATCAGAACTTTTACTACCCAAAATTTCCGCTACCGGTTCTCCAGAACTGGTCAGAACCTGCTGAAACCCACCTCTGATCTACACATGCTTATCCTTACTACTTGTGAAGTAAAAAAAATAATAATAACACAGCTCACAAAAATGTACATTCTCACCCAACCTTTTTTAGAGCTCTCTTTGTCCAGCTGCTCCTGCTCTTTTCTCGACTTTTCGCCTTCTTCAGCAATGGTTTCCATTTCTTTGACCTCAAGCCTACCAGGAAAAAAAAATGAGTCAATCAAACTAAAAAGGTTCAGGGGCTGCTTTGTCTCAAAATATAATATCTACAAGATGGATCAGGCAAACAAACTAAAGTCGTGTATACTAATTTTTCTTTTTACGACCTTCAATCCCTTTATGCAGGAGTCAGGATGACTGAAAGGAGTTTGAGCATTTACTAGTCTGAGGTCCTTCCTGATGCCTTCTTGGAACTGATGAAAGGACTGAGTTGTAGACTGGAGATAGATGATGTTGTATCCCTGACCCTCTGTTGAGAAAGGGCTGTTCAATTTTGACATAGATGGACTCTTTGACTCCTCTTTCAAACCAGCGGTCCTTTCTGTCCAGAATGTGGACTTTGCTGTCTTCAAAAGAGTGGTCTTTGTCTATTAAATGAAGATGGATTGTTGAATCTTGTCCTGATGGGTTTGTTTTCCTATGTTGTGTCATACGGTTATGAAGTGATTGTTTTGTTTCCCCAAAGTACAGATCTGCACGTCTCACTGCATTGTATTGCATATACCACATTGCTCAGTTTATGTCTAGATGTTTTATCCTTGGGGTGGACAAGCTTGTGCCTTAGTATATTCTTGTCAAAATTAAACAGCCTTCTCTCAACAGAGGGGGAGGGATATGACATCATCTATCTCCTGTCTGTCTATAACACAGTCCTTTCAGCAGTTCCAAGAAGGTTCCACACCCATTAGCACTACTCAGTGACCCTGAGGATACAGATAAACCTCCAAGTGGCCTCAACTATTCCCTAAAAGAATGCAAATGACCAGCTGTCTACAAGGAATATAAATCCTTCCATTCCCCACCATCCAGTCAGAGCTGAAGAAGCTTCTTGGATGAGAAGCGAAATGTCTTCAAAGAAAAACAAGAACATCCAGTTGCTGCTTGAAAAAGCACCTTTGGGACTTGCCTGCCAGTCTTATTCTGCAGATAAATTTGTAGGTTGGACAATTTGTGGACTGATTATTAAAGTACACCCACCTTGGAAACACTGCAGTGTTGGAAGAGGAAAATGGTAAAGTGGGTGTATCCCTGGATGACAATACAGAGTCCACAGTTCCTGGCCTCTGTTGAAGAAAAGGAGAATCAACATGGCATCCAGAGAATGATAAAAACTACGGTTAGCCTTACAGGATAGACTAGACCGCAAACATGACCAGAAGAGCTCATTCTACTTTATTGTAAAGCTACTTTAACAGTGTTGGTACCACTTTATAAGGATGGATGGATGGATGGATGGATGGATGGATGGATGGATGGACGGACAATCTTCCTCCCTCTAGTATTGATGCAAAACAGGAACGTCCTTAAATAGTTATCCAAAAATAACACATTGCCACTGTCATTCTCTTTATTTACAGTAGTGGCCAAAATTGTGGAAACCTTGTGGGAAAAGTGTATTTTTGAGGTTTGATGGTAATCACACCACTTTTTTTTGGAGTTTCAAGTTAATCCTATTCCACTGCTGGAATGGTCTGAGAATAGCCCAGACCTTCACCCAATGGAAAATCGATGGAGCCGACTAAAGAAACTTGTTAGTCAGAAGCAACCCAGCAATAAAACCCAGTTAACAGAAGCCATCATTCAATCTTGGTTTCACATGATAACAGCTGCAGAACTAAAAGACTTGGGTCACTCCATGGGAAGACATTGTAAAGCTGTCATTCATGCTAAAGGTTACCCAACCAAGTATTAACTGACATGGTGATCATTTTTGTATATCTCGTTTTTTCTATGGTGATCATTTTTGTATATCTCATTTTTTTCTATGCATTTCACTTTTCTTCTTTATCCTGTAAGTACTCTTCTAATAGCAAATCCTTCCTAAAAGTTAGTGCATTACATTCTTGATTAAATTATCTCTCCATTGATATATAATTTTATGATACTAGTTCCAAAAAAAAGTGGTGTTATTAGCTAGTTTTAGAAAATACACTTTTCCCAAAAGGTTTCCACAATTTTGGCCAATTTTGTATTTAATTTTTATGGCTACCTATCTCAGGCATGTGAGTCTAGGTAGCAAACAAGTCTAAAACTATTGAAAACAATTACAATATAATAGAAAAATAAACATACATGGCAGCCGAGAAAAAAATCTAATATGGTATTTGTAAACATAACAAACATGCTACAGTATTTTATATTTGTAATTATATATGTATGTGTGTGTGTGTGTGTGTGTGTGTGTGTGTGTGTATGAATGAACCGGTAGTAAAGGTAAGTGGAACCCACCCCATATATAATATTGTATATACAGTGTATATCTATCTATCTATCTATCTATCTATCTATCTATCTATCTATCTATCTATCTATCTATCAGTGGTGGAATTCAAATTTTCTTACTACCAGTTCTGTGGGCGTGGCCTGGTGGGGGTGGCCTGGTGGGGGTGGCAGGGGAAGGATACTGTAAAATCTCCATTCCCACCCCATTCCAGGGGAAGGTTACTGCAAAATCCCCATTTCCTCCCGATCAGCTGGGACTCGGGAGGCAGAGAATAGATGGGGGCGTGGCCAGTCAGAAGTCAGGGGTGGGTTCTACTTACCTTTACTACCGGTTCGCAACAGGGCCGCACGCGTGTGCTTGCTTCGCTCGTGCACACACACACTCTTCTGAGCAAGCGCAGAAGCATTTTGATGACGTCGGGATCAGTGGGCGGAGCCTCCCACCGGTTTTACTACCGGTTCTATAGAACTGGTGCGAACCGGGGGCAACCCACCACTGATATATATATTATACACAGATACACAGTACAGGCATCTCAGATTGATAGTGGTCCTGATTTGCTTGAACTTATCATTTAGTCATTTTGGTTCCATTGTCATGTTGAATTTATCATTAGCAGGTTTTTATTAAGATAGGCCATCTAGTCTTACTTAGAACATAATGAATGCCGAACCAACTTACATTTGTCAGGGCTTTTAAGAGTGTCCCACTTCCATCCATGGTGTGAAGAAAATCTTTATAAAACTTCATTTTCACCTTGTTATCTCGGACAATCAGGACGCCAATCCCTTTGAAAGTGAACTCGACCGTCTGTTTGGTGGCAATGGACCTCGAGAAAGACATGAGGGTCTCCCGGACACATCCTTCTACCATCTCCCTGTTGAAGGGGCTGTCCAGGGACAACACAATGAAATTCAGCTGGACAACTGGGATATCACCTAGGAAAGTATAGAAAGGAGAAATGCTCTACAGGTAAGCTGATATCATGGCAATAGCACTTAGACCACAGGTATCAAACTCACCGCGTCACGTTGCCGCCACATGACTTTTTGTGACATTTTTCCCCTTCGTGGATCTGGGGTGGGCGGGGCCTGCACTTGATGCATCCGGGCCACGAGCCGCCAGTTTGACACCCTTAACTTAGACTTCTATATCACTCTATAATGCTTTACAGCACACTCTGAATGATTTATAATGTCAGCCTATTGCCCCCAACAATCTGAGTCCTCATTTTACAGACCTCGGAGGGATGGAAGCCTGAGTGAACCTCGAGCCCATAGGATCGAACTCCAGACTGTAGGCAGAGTTAGCCTGCAATGCTGCATTCTAACCACTTGCGCAACCACGGCTCCTTGTTAACATACAGGCAACATGTTAGCAGAATATGTTGTCCCAAAGGTTCTTTTCCGAAGGGCAGGTGGACTTTCTTGGGTTTTTTTTTTTCCCCTCAAAAACGTTTCCCTTCTCATCCAAGAAGCTTCTTCAGGGTTTTTTCAGAACCGATGAAACTTCTTGGATGGGAAGGAAAACATTTTCAAGGGGGAAAAAAACCTAAGAAAGTCCACTTGCCTTTTGGAAAAGCATCTTTGGGACAATCATGACCTGGATGATTTTGAATCTTTGTAGACAATAACATTATTCATTCATTCACACAATTCTCCCAGGTAGTCTTAGTCTAGACACCTTCTGGATATGGAACCGTGACAGAATCTTGCTCTTGACTCAGGCAGGAAGATATCTTGAAACCCTCTTAATACTTCAGCAACTGACATCATAAATATACCAACACCACGCTTGATGTTGGAGGATGATCCAGGAGTAGTTCTGGAACCAAGATGTAAGCAGTCTAGGGGCCTGTGTCAAAGGTGTGGTTTTGTTTCCAAGGCAACTGGACTATTTTTTGAGGAACAAGAAAACGACGTTTCACTTCCCATCCAAGAAGCTTCATCCATTGTGAGGATACCTATCCTTCCATCCCTCCACCATCACCACGGATGAGGCATCTTGGATGAGGAGCGAAAGGTCTTCTTCTTGTTCCTCAAAATAAAAACCCAGTCTAGCTGCCTTTTGAAAAAACAAATTTGAGGCAACTATGACCTGGATGACTGAGAATCTCCATAGGGGCTCTAGGTGTCAGGGAATTGCGCAGCAGGTGTCCAAATGAAGTCACAGACTCTGACACGAACTTGTAGTAGTTTTATATAAATAAATACATTTACAGCTATATTTATGTCAGTCAAGATAGTCAAGGCAAACAGAAGCATTGTGAGGTAAATCCTCACAGGAAAATCATCGTGAGGTAAATTACAGAGCACACAGGAGAAAAAGGCGGGAAACAAGGACAGTCCCCCTTTAACCCACAGCAACCAATCACAGCATAGATTGCCTCACACCGGAGCCAGCTCTTTCTCTCCAACAAAACAACTGCGTGTTCTGACTCATCATACCACTCCACTGTTTCAGCTACTAAATTTAAATATCGTTACAGACACCTAGAGCCCATAGGGATCCAGTCAATCAATAACTGTAATGGTATGCAGGAATGTCCTTGGGAGACAGAAACAGGAGCCATAACCTAGACGAGTCTGATAAAATAAATAAGTCTTTTAAAATGATTTATGTTGTTTGGTGGGTAACTGGATTGTATAAAGGGTTTGATTTGAATGCCTATGGAGATTCTCAGTCATCCAGGTCATGGTTGTCCCAAAGGTCCTTTTTCAAGAGGCCACTGGACTTTCTGGTTTTTTCTTTGAAGAGATTTGAAGATTTACATTTGAAGGAAGAGGAAAACCTTGAAACTGAATTTCTCACCCGGAATGCGTATTTTGTTGAATTTTAGTCCATGGATCTGGGCGAGTTTCTCCGATAGAAGGAAGACAGGCCGCTGAAGGAGGACGCATTTGTTGGTGCCAACGTGCAGTTTCTCTCTAAGAAAGGAGAATGTCCCAAGGCCAGGAATTTGGACACCCTGCAAAAGAAGGAGCCCTAAGTAAGAGCTGGAACAGCAACAGGGTGAAGGCTCCCGAGTCCCAACCTACATTATGGGTAGTCCTTGAATTACGACAACAATTGAGCCCAAAATTTCAGCTGCAAAGCAAGACAACTATTAAGGCAGTTTTGTCCCATTTTATGACCTTTCTTGCCACAGTTGTTAAGCAAATCACCGCCGTTGTTAAGTGAATCTCTGCAGTTATTCTGGCTTTCCCGTTGGTTTTCTTGTCGGAAGCCATCTGGGAAGGTTACAAATGGTGATCATGTGACCCCAGGACGTGATTAACTGCCATAAAGCCAGTTGCCAAGTCCCCCAATTTTGATCATGTGACCATGGGGATGCGGCAATGGTTGTAAGTGTAAAAACCGGTCATAAGTCAGCGCTTTTGTAACTTCAAATGGTCACTAAATGAATGGTTGTATGTTGAGGCCTATCTGTACAGTACAAGCTGAAGAGTCAGAATATGTATCTTATTATTAGGCACAAATGTAACTCAGCACCACCAGTGTTGTCCTCTACAAACATCAGCAAAATAAGGATATGAACAGAAGTGGGTTTCACATAATTTTACCACCGGTTCAACGTGCACTGAAAATGTGAGCGTGTGCGTGCACGTGGCCTTCCGCGCATGCACTTTGCTCGCTCACGCGGTTTGCAAACATGTGCATGGCTTAGAAAACGTGGCTAAATAAGACGGCACAGGTTGCCACTACTGGTTCGCCTGAACTGATCCAAACCAGCTGACTGACACCACTGGATATGAACTCTAGTCCAGTGGTGGGTTTCAAAATTTTTTACTACCGGTCCTGTGGGTGTGGCCTGGTGGGCGTGGCTTGGTGGGCGTGGCAGGGGAAAGATATGGTAAAATCTCCATTCCCACCCCACTCCAGGGGAAGGATACTGCAAAATTTCCATTCCCACCCCACTCCAGGGGAAGGATACTGCAAAATCTCCATTCCCACTCCAATCCAGGGAAAGGATACTGCAAAATCTCCATTCCCACCCCACTCCAGGGGAAGGATACTGCAAAATCTCCATTCCCACCCCAATCTAGGGGAACGATACTTCAAAATCTCCATTCCCACCCCAATCCAGAAGGATATTGCAAAATCTCCATTCCCCCCCACTCCAGAAGGTTACTGCAAAATCCCCATTTCCTCCTGATCAGCTGGGACTTGGGAGGTAGAGAATAGATGGGGGAGGAGCCAGTCAGAATTTTTACTACCGGTTCTCCGAACTACTCAAAATTTCCACTACCAGTTCTCCAGAACTGTTCAGAACCTGCTGAAAACCACCTCTGCACTAATCTGTTGTGAAAATGTAGAGAAAACGTAACATTAGGGAGGCAGGCAGACAAGCAAAGAGAAAGAGAGAATTGGAAGGCTTGATCTTAACTGAATCAGAGTTAGAACAAACGATTTTTTTTAATACTGTAGCACAAGCCGAGTCCTTGATGAATCTGAATAGAAGTGAAATATTTTTAAGAAAAAAATTCTTGATTGCTCTGAATGATGAGACCTCTGATGGATGAACTAAGCAAGCCTTTGATTTAACATGGTCTGTGTCTTAACCCCTTATCTTTTAACTGAGAGAAGATCTTAAAATGTGTGTGGGAAAGAAAGAAAGAAAGAAAGAAAGAAAGAAAGAAAGAAAGAAAGAAAGAAAGAAAGAAAGAAAGAAAGAAAGAAAGAAAGAAAGAATTGTCCTTTCTGAAGGGAGGGAGGGAGGGAGGGAAGGAAGGAAGGAAGGAAGGAAGGAAGGAAGGAAGGAAGGAAGGAAAAATAGAGAAATAGATGAGTTTTAATGCCAAGTCTGTCTTTAATTGGTGGTCATATGCCTGGTTTGAAGACACATGAGGCTTCCTGCTGGTCTCTAGTCATGCCTCTTTCCCAAGGAAGACAATCACAGTTAACTCTGACTATGGAATTCCTCACCACCTAACCTTATCAACAAAAGAGAGTTATCTTCCTATACATTTTTTTTTTAAATGTCACGCCCACAAAGTCTGGAGTCTTGGTTAAGGCACCAGTCTAGAAAACAAGAGACCATGAATTCAAGCCCACCTTAGCCATGAAAACTAACCAGTGACTTTTGAGGCACCCTCTCTCAGCCAGCCTTCCTTACAGGGCTGTTGTTGTGGGGAAAATAGGAGGAAGAAGTTATGTTGGATACGTTTGCCGCCTTGAGTTAATTGTAAAAGATAATAAAGGCAGGATATAACTAAAAGTAAGGGGTACGGTGGCTCAGTGGCTAAGACGCTAAGCTTGTCAAACGAAAGGTCGGCAGTTCAGCGGTTCAAATCCCTAGTGCCGCGTAACGGGGTGAGCTCCCGTTACTTGTCCCAGCTTCTGCCAACCTAGCAGTTCGAAAACACGTAAAAAATGCAAGTAGAAAAATAGGGACCGCCTTTGGTGGGAAGGGAACAGCGTTCTGTGCGCCTTTGGCATTTAGTCATGCTGGCCACATGATCACGGAGACGTCCTCAGACAGCGCTGGCTCTTCGGCTTTGAAACGGAGATGAGCACCGCCCCCTAGAGTCAGGAACAACTAGCACGTATGTGTGAGGGGAACCTTTACCTTTACCTATAACTAAAAGTAATGAATACGGTACCTAGATTTGAAGAATGTAAGTAGAAAAATTGACAAAAAGTCCTACCTTATTCATCGATAGTTGCTTCTCAACAAACTCAGAAACGGTGTCCCAAATATTAACAACATCTGAAACGTAAAGCACACATATTTTTGAACACACTTTTTACACAATTCTAAAAAGAGGAAGAATCTCTTAGGTCTTAGGTAGAAGTTCACTGAACTGATTTATTGCTGGATAGATTTGATTTACATTCATGACAATCAGTCAGACTCTTGATGGTTTATATAAGTACAGGTGGTCCTTGACTAATAACCACAGTTGAGCCCAAAATTTCTGTTGTTAAGCAAGACAGTTGTTAACTGAGTTTTGCCCCCGTTTACAACTTTTCTTGCCACGGTTGTTAAGTGAGTCACTGCCCTAAGTTGTTAAGTGAATCCGGCTTCCCCATTGACTGTGCTTGTCAGAAGGTCACAATAGGTAATCACATGATCCCAGGACTTTACAACCGTCATAAATACAAGTCAATTGCCAAGCATTCGAATTTTGATCACGTGACTATGGGGAATCCTGCAACCTTCATAAGTGTGAAAAATGATCATAAGTCACTTCCTTCAGTGCCGTTGTAACTTTGAACAGTCACTAAATGGACTGTTGTAAGTTCAGAACTACCTGTATACCTAATGACAACTCAATACAATATTCATGGCAAAAACAGCATTAAAAAAACGCAGCGATCAACCAGTTTTTTCACTGGTGTCTTCTCAATCACCACCGACTCTATGAAACAATTTGGTATTTAAGTTTCCAGATGGTCAATCATGTGGGAACAATCGCAACTACACAAGGAGACTGTTCCACATAGCAGGGACTGAACCTGAAAAAACAGCCCTTGCAATCCTCACAGGAGGTAAGCTCTTCTGAGTAAATCTATGTTTTGCAATTGACCGGTGGTGATTTTTGTCAATGCCGATACTGTTCAAGTGGTGCTCCAGTTGTTTTGGGATTGCAACAGTGGTGAAATCCAAATTTCTTTACTACCGGTTCTGTGGGCGTGGTATGGCTTGGTGGGCGTGGTATGGCTTGGTGGGTGTGGCAGGGGAAGGATACTGCAAAATCTCCAATCCCACCCCACTCCAGGGGAAGGATACTGCAAAATCCCCATTCCCACCCCACTTTGGGGCCAGCCAGAGGTGGTATTTGCCGGTTCTCCGAACTACTCAAAATTCCCGCTACTGGTTCTCCAGAACCTGTCGGAATCTGCTGGATTTCACCCCTGGATTGTACCCAAGGCGCCTATCACAATTGATACCAGTGGTGGGTTTCAAATTTTTTTACTACCGGTTCTGTGGGCGTGGCTTGGTGGGCATGGCATGGCTTGGTGGGCGTGACTTGGTGGGCATGGCAGGGGAAGGATACTGTAAAATCTCCATTCCCACCCCACTCCAGGGGAAGGATACTGTAAAATCTCCATTCCCTCCCTACTCCAGGGGAAGGTTATTGCAAAATCCCCATTTCCTGCCGATCAGCTGGGACTCGGGAGGTAGAGAATAGATGGGGGCGGGGCCAGTCAGAGGTGGTATATATCAGTTCTCCGGACTACTCAAAATTTCCACTACCAGTTCTCCAGAACTGGTGAAACCCACCTCTGATTGATACTATCTTTGCTCTCTTTTGCTAGTTACATATAACAGTAACAGAGTTGAAAAGGAGGTCATCTAGTCCAACCCCCTACTCATGCAGGAGACCTGTACTAGGGGATTCGAACCGCCGAACTGCCGACCTTTCTGATCGGCAAGCTCAGTGTCTTAGCCACTGAGCCACCTAGTCAGGCTAATTGGAAGTGGAGGATGCAGTTATTGGTCTTCTATTTTGCAGGCCTTCGTATTTTATTACTTTCTCCAATTATGATGATGATTAGGGTTCATTGCAGAGTCAGCCAGATCTTTAAACTGGATCTGGCCTTTTTATCCGCCCGATGACTCCTTCCCCGACGACCCGAGGCAGGTAGATCTTATTTGATGGTGTCAAAGGCATCACTGCAGAGTATAAGCTGTTCCAGGTAAAGCTACCTTTTGTCAATTGGCTGATGTGAATTTTGTCAAGGCTGATGGTGTTCGAGGGGTGCTCCAGATGTTTTGGGATTGCAACCAAGGTGCCAATTAACCCAATGGAGACAGTTTGGAATAGCGGTTAAGGCACCAGGCTAGAAAGCAGGAGACTGAGAGTTCAAGTCCCGCCTTAGGCATGAAAGCCAGCTGGGTGACTTTGGGCCAATCACCAGGAACCTGTGAATTCTAGTCCCGCCTTAGCCATGAAAACCAATAGGTGACTTTGGGCCAATCATTGGGAACCTGTGAATTCTAGTCCCGCCTTAGCCATGAAAGCTAATGGGTGACTTTGGGCCAATCACCGGGAACCTGTGAATTCTAGTCCCGCCTTAGCCATGAAAGCCGATGTGTGTGTGTGTGTATATATATATATATGTGTGTGTGTGTGTGTGTATATATATATATGTGTATGTGTGTGTGTGTGTGTGTGTGTGTGTGTATGTATATATATATATATATATATATATATATATATATATATATATATATACATATAAAATATATATAAGCCCTCCTTCAAATCAAGCTCAACTCCTGATAAGTATGGCGTGCAGCTGTCTACCGAGAAGCAAACACATCACTGTCCTCTTTGCAGAATGGCCTTTATCTCCCTGCAGTCTAATTTTACAGCCCTGAAATCTCCCTCTTGTCTCCCACCCAATATTATCCAGGACTGACCCTGCTTAGCTTTTTTTGAGAGCAGCCAAAATAGCTTGCTGCTGCCATCTAGTGATAAACTAAGGCAAATTCTCTTGAGTTCCGTCTCTTTCAGGGTACTGAAAGAGGAGAGAGAAATTAACAAAATTATTAAGGATAAAGAAACAGAATATTTTTTGATATGGGACATATTCTATCAATGGCTAGATAACAGAAACAGAAGTTAGAAAGGAGGAGATATAAGTGGAGAAAATGGTATAGAGGATAGTTGTTAAAGAAGAGGATGCTAAATGTTAAGTATTAATGTTATTATACTATTATGTTATTATATTATTAATATGATGGTGATGACCTATCGCAACAAGGATGTATAATATGACTATTTAAACATAATTGTACCCAGAATACACA